TGCTGTCCCACTGAGTGACCAGGATAATGTTGTGTTAGGAGACAGTACATCCATGATGGGTTACAAGGCTAGTGAGGTCCATGGGGCTAGCACCCAGGGGTCTTATATGCAGGCTGGTTTGGGTCCTATCAAGGGACAATGGGAAGCCATTTATGAGTGTCAAGCAGGACCATTATATGGTCAGACTTATTTCTGAAGATCTCTCTCTAGCTGCAGTGTGGGAAATGGTTTAAGGGTAGGTGGGAGGTGAAATGGAGCCAACAAAGTCACTTAGGAAGCTGGGGAGATAGCTTAGATGAGAGATGGTTGAAGGCAGGAAGGAGTCCTGAAGATGGAAGGGAGAACAGATTTAAAGCAGTTGCAGGAAGAAATTTGAGAGCCTGTGGTAACTATCGGTTGTCAGAAAGAGCAGCTGTGGGAGAACAAAGACACTTAGGATACTCCCAGATTTCTAGTTTCAGTGACTGGGTAGTGCCTACAACTCCTTGGAAGAAAGAACACAGCGGAGCAACAGGTTGGTGGTAAGGTGGTAAATTCAGCTAGTGACAGCTCCAGAATTCCTGCACAGAAGTGTAGGGCGGCAGGACTGGGGGATTTCTCCCAAAACTATGTTTGCAATAAAAAGCACTCTGTTTGTGTGTATGTTTAGAGGAGGGGCATAGGTCAGATGAGTGTCAGATCACGGAGGCTTTAAGTCCCCACCCCAAGCATCCTGAATTCAGCATGGGCTGAATTGTATTAGTTGAGATTCTTTTGGTTGCAAGCGACAGAAACCCAATTTAAACAAGCTCAAAGATCAAACCAAGGAAGAGATAGACATGGAGCCTCAGGAATGACTAGATACAAGAGCCCTCACATTGGCAGAATGCTCTCTCCCTTCCACTGCTAATCTTTGTTTCTCAGCACCTATTGGCTTCGTTCTTTCCTAGTGCAGACACCTTTTCCACACAGGAGGGAGCAGAGGGCCTTTGGATTTAACATTCTTCCAGCTTAGCCACCAGTGAGAAAAGAAAATCTCTCTCTCCAGCCTCCAGTTTTAATCATATCTTGGGGAAAGGCTCTGATGGCTTTGGTTTGGTTCACAAACCCACTTCTTGAACCAATCACTGTGCCTAAAGAAACAGGGTCTATGCTAGAAGAAAGGCTAAGAACATACATGGCCATTCCTCCAACCTGTAAAACAGGCAGACTTGGAGATGGTGGGGCAACATCCTGGTGAGGCAGGAGAGCAAAATCTGGTTATGTAAACCTGAGGCTTAGAGGACAGCAATACACTGAAGACACAGATGTCTAATGGTTCAGAAAAGTAGTTAGTAGTTGATTGCCTCAACAAAATTAATGGCAGGATGTATTCCACAGGCTCAGTAAATAGATTAACTCATGAGCATTATTACTCAATAACCCTTAATATATGTTTTATAGAAGGTTTGGATAGGATCAGACAGTTAAGTTCATAGTTTAAAAATAGTTTATAAAGGAAAGCAAATCTCAAGACAGACAGTATGTATAGTATGATTCCAATTAGGTAAAACACAATATGTGTATATGCAATTTTGTATGGGTGTGTATACAAGCATAGGTCCATGTTTCCCAGACTTCAGAAAACAATACTGTGCCATATTCACTGTAGCTCCCGTGAGTAGGGTGTTCCCAGCCTGGGTGAATTCTCTATGAAACCAGTGAAACTGAAATAAGTCAAGAGAAAGGATAGGTTGGAAGAAACTGTTTTTATTGCCCACATCTTGCTCAAATTCACTAGCTAGGCCTGGCCCTTTCTGTCTTCTCCCACTGCCACTCACTCTGTGCCACCTTGGCCCCTTCTGGGAGGAACTCCATGGGTGAGTCCTTGGTGAGTGGCAGATGCCAGACCAATTATATACTAGGAACAAAGGAGAGGAGAGAATGGCCATTTTCCTTTCTACCACTTGCCCCAGATCCGTGAGAGGCTCTGAAGTGGTGAACATGTATTGATATGTAAATGAAGTAAGGCTAGGCAGGAGATTCTGGAAATTCCACCATTTACTCACACCCACCCAGAACTGATGTTTCCCAGGCTTCAGAAAACTCTATACAACTTTGACATTTTGTCATATTCATCTGGAATTGCTTGATGAACAGTGAAAAGTCTTATAGGAGAAATAAAATGTATTCTTTTATCAAAAGTGAGGTCCCTATAGTCAAATACTTACTTTATCTCTTTGCAACTGACAGGTATTGGAAGGCATTGTCTGGCATCTTCCCAGGGCCCACAAGGCCTTCTGTGCTGTCCACCTCATTTCTTCCTACCCTTTCCTTCTGCTCTCAAGCCCTGTGCCCTCACTGTTGCAGAACTGTTCCCTTAATGTCTTCACATTTATATTCCCCTATCTAGAACATTCTACCTCAAACTTTGATATGATTGGTTTCTTCTCATCATTCAGACCTCAGCCCAAATATCACCTCCTTAGCAAGGTCTTCCCTGACCACCCAATCAAACATAGCTTATTCCAGCCTCCAACACATCGCTCTGTTTTATTTTCCCATATCTCAAATTATGTCGACTATGTGTTACTTGTTTATTACCTGTCTCTTCCATTTTAAGTGTAAGCTCTATGAAAGCAGGAACTTTGTGTTGTCGTCTTCCATCCCGACAACAGAGCTTCACCACTCGGAATGTTTGTAGAATAAAAGGATGTACTGCTGGGATATTTTTCAGTGCTGAGAAGATATAAGCTATGAAGCCATGAAAAGACATGGAAGAAAGGTAAATGTGTACTGCTTAGCGAAAGAAGCCAATCTGGAAAGGCTACATACTGTATGATTCCTGCTATATGACATTTGGGAAAGGCAAAACTATGGAGACAATAAGACAATTACTGGTTGTCGGGGGTTAAGGTGGAGGGAGGGATGAGTAAGTGGAGCATAGGAAATTCTCAGGGTAATGAAACGATTCTGTATGATACTATCATTATGGATACATGTCATTATACATTTGTTCAAACCCACAGAATGAGCAACACCAAGAGTGAACCCTAATGCCAACTACGGACTCTGGGTGATAAGGATGTGTCAGTGCAGGTTCATTGATTGTAACAAATGTACCAAATGTATCAGATGGTGGAGGAGCTTGACAAGGAGGAGGCTATGCATGCATGGGTACAGGGGTAATGGGAAGTCTGTGTACCTTCTGTACAATTTTGCTGCAAACCTAAGACTGCTCTAAAGATACAGTCTATTGAAAAGAAAAGGAAAAAAAGGATGTACTGCTCATGTTGTCAAAATGGTTTAAGTGTGTGAGTGCATCGTCGAGAAAGATTATTTGACATTAGGATTGTCCTGGGAAAGCTGGAGCTCAGAAAAGCCTAAACCAAAACTTTAGGCAGTATTCTCCAAATCAGAGTTCCATATTCTGTGCCCAGATAAGTTTAACAGTTTTCTTTGATGAGGGACTGAGCACTTGCACAGTTCCTATATGTGTATTGTGGGGCTCTAAGGTGAATAGCATGTGCAGCTGTATTCCATGTTCCAGCACCCATTCTTCATGCCTTGTTCTTATCATCAGTGAGCCTAAGTCCAGCTGAATGCCAGTGTTACCCTCTACAGCAGCTTTAAATAGACAAAATATTTCCCCTCGGAACTAATCCAACATAATTTTGTTTGGTTATTTCCAAACTACGAGAATCTAAGTTCCATGAGAACAGTGTTTTTTGTCTGTTTTAGTCACTGTCATGTTCCCAGTGTTCAAGTAGGGCCTGGCACATAGCAAGTGCTCAATAAATATTTGTTTGAGAAAATGAACAATTTTTATCCTGCCTTTGAGTCCACAAATCCTCAGTGAAGAGGGCAGAAATTTTGGTACAAGGTAGTGATACCAAATCCTGGTCCATGTGGTTCATATTTCTGGGCTTTTTGTGTGATACTTATTCTTGTTGCTGATATCCCCAGTGTATTTTTTTTCTGGATGGACAAGTTGGAGAAGTTAAGAAGACAAGACAGGTGTGTGGGCCTTGGGTTCTGACTCTACTCTGGTGGTGGTAATAGTAACTAATATTTGAACTGCAATTTTCTTCCAAGTTTCTGCATTTGGTTCTCAAAATATCCCTGTGAAGCAGGTGTTATTACCTTCTTTTTAGGTAGATCGGCAGGCTCAGAGAGACTCTCCCGATTCACTCAGGTGGTATTAGATCAGCCTTGATCTAAACCCTAGTCTTACCATGTCAAAGTCCACATTTATTCCCTGGCACCTGCTGCCTCCCTAGCTGGTTTGTATGCTGGGAAACTACTTCCCCTTTCTCGGTTCCCATGTCTGCAAAATGCCCAGGTGATCTCTCAGTTTCCTTCCAACTCTAAATTCTATGACATTAAGCCTTTTCTTTAATCTGTAACCTACTTTTAAAATTTCTATAGCTTTTAAAAGTACTCAAATAATGATATCTTATCTCTACTTGTAATTGCACAGTTCTTTCAAACTCTGATTCAGGTGCTAAAAATCAAATTATGAAAAATTTCTTTTTCTTTTAAAGTAATGCCCAGAAACATAATACCTTAAAAAGAAATGAATTGGTATTGTTAAGCATAGCACTCTCAGGAGGGTCTTCATTAATCTTAAAAAAATGCCAGAAGAGGATTTTTCTCTCAGCTTATTTCAAAACAACAGATATGGAAGAAAATATAACTTTTCTAGAAATGAATCCTTTAAGAACAGAATAAAAATAAATAAATCTGAAATATTTAATCACCAAGTAGCTAAATAAATAAGCCTCTCCAAAATAAAAAGAGGCAGAGCCTGGTCTTCAGTTTATTATTTACATGGTAAATTCTTTTTGTATGCAAAACATTTGTATTATTCACATATCCTTGTCTGTTTAAACAAGGCACTGGGCCTCACAACCAACAAAGCAAGCAAATTGTATGTGTTATTTCCCTATAGGGTATTTTGTTTAGTCTCAAACTTTTATTTGCAGCCATATAGAAATGATCTATTTTCGGTGTCACATAAAAAAACTACACAGAAAAATCTGTGTTTGCACATCCTATTTTGGGTTTTATTTTGCTAAAAAGTAGGATTCACACTGGCAAAAAACAAGATAAAACATGCAAAATACTTTTGTGCAACCTCAAGCACACAACATTCCACTTTTGAAATCTTAAAATTAAAAAAAATCCGAAGTAAGAGTACCTGGGTTGAAAAGTTAATGTTATAAAAGCTGGATTCCTAACACAAACACTCCAGACACTAGTCACTCAGTTGCAAAAAGTTAATGTTTATAAATGTTAAATAAATGTCAACAATGAGGAGACAAGAACTGTAGATTCAAAGTGTTCTCCTCACCATGAACTATGAAAAACTGTGTTTGGTGGTATAGGACATCCATGATGTTAACTTGACACAGACACAACCTTAACCCCAACACTATACCAAACTTACAAACACCAAAGAGACCATTCTGAAAACTACTTCCTTTGCCTGCTACTTTTAAGATTTTTTTGTTTTGTTTTGTGTTTTGGTAAATAAAAGACTTCCTCAGAATTGACACTAGCTCTGAGATGGAGAAAACCTGATTCGATAAATGACTATGGTGAAGGCCTCCTTTGAGATACTTCACTTTTCTTTTTAAGAATAATACACTTTTAAATGATCACACACACACACACAAGTGTATGTGAGAGAGAACAAGTGTGTGTGTGCCTGCGCATGTGCACGCATACACATGCAAACCCTTTTAAAAGATATTTTTGGAATCTTAACTCTAGGGAACTTGTCTCCTTTCCTTGAAACCAGTCCCTGATAATTTAATAACTTTTTTTTTTTTAAGAGAAAACCTGCCTAGAGCTTTCTGTATAGTCAGCAACCTCTTTGTCCTTGTACATTTGAACTTTCCAAAAATAACAGAATGCTCCAACGTACTTGTTTGCAACTCCTGAAAATCCTCAGGCATTCCCAGCAGATGTTTACTCTGGTGCTTTATATTCACTTTCTCAACACACCAAAGGTGAAGAAGGGCCCTGTGCTAGGAGCACGTTCATGTCCCACCTGGTGCTTCCTGGGGGACATTGGTGACCTCACCCTTGGACAAAGAAAAAACACAGGCCTCCTCCTAGGGACCTATCTATCTCCTTCCTTCTCCCTCAGGGAGAAGGGTCACATTCAGGCAGAAGAGCAGTCCCTGGAAGCCTTAGTTCTCAGAAGAAACAGTGTTCTGATGCTTTCTCATAAAATATTTTCAAACGTGCAAAGAGAAAATCCAAACAGGAGTGAGGAGAGAATAGCAGTGAGTTGAAAGAGTGCCTAAGTATTGTGCTCAAGTGAGAAACATCCACTCAAACTGCCTGCTTTAAGGCCATGTTCAATAAGCAGAGTAACAGTGCTTCCTAAAAGAGAGACTACATTGTTTCCAATCTCAGAAACTAAGCTTCTTTATCACCAAACAGCTTTAAAATGCTTACTAAACTCATACTGTAACTAATATTTTAAAGAAGTTTGAAGACCCAAGTCTATTTCGATAAATAGTTCAGTAATTGCTAGATCAACTCAGCTCATATAGTTTCAAAATATTGGCCAAAATGGCAAATGAGTATATATCAGTTCATCTTTTCCTTCTAACAGCCAACAACTGTACATGATCAGTGTGCTGTATGTAAAGGAACCTCAGAGAAGGATGGTGCAGATCTAGGTGGGAGGTCCTGCTAATCAGGGGTGCTTATTGAGCTGGCAGGAAATAAGGTTCCTCTTCCCCACCCAGAGTTTGCACACTTTCTCAGCCTACCCTGCCATCCTGTTTCAGACACTGCCTCTCTCTTCTTTTCCAGATCACTAAGCCTGTAGAGGGAAGGGGTGCAGAGGAAGACTTCATAAGTGAACAGTCACAGGATGGGGGTAAAATACATGCACAAGACTGGACATTCATTCTAGCGAACCTCATAAAGCAAAACAAAGGCCAGACACAACCCAGCCTCATTTTAAAATCTCCTCTCGCACACAGCAAAGCAAAACTGGAAAAACCCAGTTCCACTTTGCCATCACAATTCCAAATGGAGCTAAACCTTCTGGGGACGTTGGGAGTTTTAGATAGAGAGAGGGTCGCTCATCTGCAGCGTGTGCCAGGGCCCTTCCCGAGGCTGTGCGATGTGCCCAGCAGCTCCCAGAAGACATCTCTTCGGGTATCTGGACTGCCTTAGAACATTCAGGTTTGTTAAGGTCTGAAGTCTGATGCGCAGAGGTAGTTCCGTGACGCTAGTAATGGAATAACACTTCCTTTTTTGGTGAGGAAAGTCCAATGGGTCTTAGCTAACAAGCTCTCAGCTATGGCTCTAAAAATACCCCACAGTGAGTACTGTCTGGCACTTCATCTTGTTGGCCAGAGGAGCTCTAAAAAACCGCACAGAATGCTCCAGATTCTCCATCACTGCTCTGAGCTCTGTCCCTGCTCTCATGACTTCAGGGAAGTGTATCCCTTTGGGAAAGTTACTTGCTGTTCTTCCCTGTTGAGTTTTTGGAATTCTGCCCTAAACATTTGAAGTACAATTCCAGTGTTGGATTAATTACTAGCTTGGTTTAGGAATCTTCATTTGGCTTCTAGTCTAAACTATGCAAATACACAATCTGTGTGCAGGAGAAAGGACTAAAATTATACTTCTAAAAGGCTCAGTAGCTTTCTGTCTTCCCCTAACACCAAAAAGAAGCATCAGCCTCCTTGAATCCTTTGTTGCCAGAAGCATGAGTGCTCCCAGCCGGTCCACAGCAGATGTCTGGGGCTCCCTACACGTTGATGGCATGTGCATGTTTCTTGCACAGTGGTTTATCCTTCTTGGAGTAGAATGGCTGTCCCTCCAGATTCACGTGGCAAACCTGGGACAGAAAGCAGACAGGCATGAGACAGGGCCTCACAGTCCATGAGGCAGGCGACATGAGCAAAAGATTTCAGTCACGCCTTTAAGACAACCCGGTCAGGTGCAGATAGGAGAAAAGGCAACGGCCTTCTTCTCCCCACTACAAATTCGTAACAACGAAAGCAGATAGATGGGTGGAGCTGTATGAAATGTAAGGCATCCAAAGAGAAACACAGAATAAAACTCTAATTAAAATAAAATAATGAAGTTTAATGGAATACAGAAAATATATACGATGCAGATGACCAATTGATGCTATCCAAAATTAAAAGGAACCAAAACAAGTTTATAAATAAATATCCACAGAGATAATTAACATCTACAGAAGTACCATTAGTAAACTAACAAACACATTGGAAACAATTGTCCTCACTAATAATTAAAGACAAATAAATTAAACCTGCATGAGATACCACTAGATATCTATTAATTTAACAAAATAATTAAAACAAAATCGCAATGGCTTGTCACCTTTAACCTTACAAGACTACAGTCAGCAAGTGGAAAAAAAGTAATAAATCAAAAGTCAGCAATGCCAAAAGGGAATGAGGCCTAGTTGTGTATTACGAGGGACATGTGACTCAGCTCAGTCTACTGCATGGATGCAGCAGCACTGAAGATGAGCCACAGGGATGTGCCTGCCCCATACCCCAGTAATACCACTCTGGAGAATCCTATCTGACAAAAACTATGGCACAGAACATGACAGCACCATGTGCTCAACTAAAAGCTGAAAACTTCTAAAATTTCTCTTGATTGGGTGATGATTAAGTAAGTTTTTATGGTACATTTTTCCAATGGAATGCCACCGTGAAACAGATAAATCAAATATGGAAAAGTGTATGCAGGGAAATATTATATTTAAAAATGGAGGCAGAATTTTACATCCCCATGATGACAACGTATGAATGCATTTTGAAGATGGAGACATCAGAGAAAGAACAGCTAGGTAATGACTGTTGAGGCCACTGTGGGTCAAGCTGGATGCCAGACACTCCATATAAATAATCTCATTTAATTCTTACAAAAACCTTATGGGACAGGTATGACTTTTCCTCATTTCACAACTGAAAAACAGGCTCAGAGAGCCCAAGTATCTTGCTTAAGTCACAGACCTATGATGTCATAGAGCTAGGAATCCATGTCTAGCTATTCTAAGCTCATTTCCCCCATACCCCACAGCACAGAGGGGCTGTTTACTTGAAAATGTTCTGGGCTTCCAGACTTGTACAGGAGTAGCCCTCCAAGTCTGTTGGACTCCCAGTATAGAGGCGGCCCTGGGTGGACAACATGCTGATGTGTCAGTCAGCAGGGAAGGTCACGTTGGCCGGGATGGGCCCCAGCCTTGAAGAGGGTGCTGAGGATCCCTAATGGGGAACAGAATGGGGACCACATCTAGGACACTGCAATGGTATAGTTCCGACACACAGGCAGGCATGAGGTTAGAGAAATCACCCTCCTGAAATGAGTTTTGGTCAGTGAGCATATGTCTACTTCAAGGGAAATGGAAAGAAAAGTGGCATCATGGTTGCCCCATGTGCAAGGCCCTGATGGCCCAGTTGGGGATGTTATACTTGGATCACACATGGCTGCCAATGGGCCCTGAAGGCCAATGACCTGAGAAGGTCTTTGAAAATATCCCAAGTGGATGCCATGATATTGAGTGTAACCAAGCTCCTAAACTGGCTTCAGGCTGCTAGTGACAACTTGAAGTCCAAGAGGGTGGAACTTAGGATCCAACTGGTAAGGAGGGTTTTCCTGGGAAATAGAAAGGCAGTTCTGGAGTGAGTTGGCCAGGAGCTGCCTATCAATATCTGAGGCTTTGATGGGGAGACCCTACCTGGTTTGGGACAGCACTGGCTCCTTGTGAGAACTTCAGGCTGACTCAGCCTGAGAGGGTCCTGGGGGTCTAGAGACCAAGGGGTGAGGAAGGGCCAGAGCCTCAGAGGTGGCCCAATGATAAGAGGGGGCTGAGGGCAGGAACCATCATAGAGAAATTGCGCTCAGTGTCATTAGCCAGGATGCTGCAGACAGGATGCAAGGTGACTTCATGGTGGAGGAAGCCTCCAGACTACCTAGCACAGGGGCACTGCAGGGATGTACAACCCCCAGACTCTGTGGTCAAGTGGCATCAGGGCGTGGCTAGGAAAGAGTGGTGGCCATGGACAGTGTTAATCTCACAGAGTGGAAGGCAATGAAACAGGCCAGCAGAGGCCCCTAGGACTGTCCATAAAAACAGTATAACCACCTATCTCCTCCTGATATCCGCACCAGTGGGGAAGGGCTGGAAACCAGTTAGAGGAAAACAGGGCCAGTAGGACTTCTTTCCCCCACTAAGACAGGACTCACATGCTTTCCATTGAAACTCAAATGCCAAAGCCAGACAGGAGTTAAACACTCTCCCTTACCTACACTGCCCTTCTCAGCCTTCATTTTACAAATCAACTTTAGAGATGTTGGCTTGTTCTGGTCTTTAATTGTGTTTTCCTTTCAAGATTCTAAATTCCTCAAAGATGGAGACTTGTGCTGGGATACTCTCATACTCCCCAAATTCAAGAAATACTTGGTAAATGGAATTAGTCTGAAATATGTGCTCTCCTGAGGTCTAACTGATAGGAAAACAGTGCATGAACTGGGAGAGCTGGTCCTGATCTTCCTTTATTATTAGGTTCTTTTTTAAGTTACAGGAAAATAAATGTTCAAAAGTGATTTGGAAATATAAAGTGATGGAAAGAGGGAAAAAAAGACCTCAGTTTTCCCATCAAAAGACTGTTTTCCAAAGAGTAAAACCATATTGCACTTTACAATGTCATAATGGGGCAGTGAATGCCAAACAGGGCTAGTCTGGGGGAAGACATGACAGTTTTCCATGCTGATTCTTGACACCCTGGGATCTGCCTGGTCTCTCTGGGTGGATCCTTTGGGCTTCTCCTGCCTGCCTATAATCAGACTTTGAAATCTCAACCTGAACAACCCTAAGCTTTATTACTTCCTCTGGTCATTCTCTGGGACTTGTGCTCTCAGACAAACACCATGGCTCAAAGGAACAGACCCATGCTTACTTTTGCCATGGTTCCCTCTCCATGCCACACAGACCTCTCATTAGCCTGCCCTCAGAAAAGAGGCATTCCATGCCACTGTCTTCCTTGGACCTTCTCCAAGTCTTTTAGATTCCTCTAGAAATTGGGTAACCAGACTTGCAGGCAGTGTCTCAGGATCAGACAAGCCTTTGCATGAATGTAAGGGCCACAGAGCCCTGTGCTGTGCCTTGCTGAGCCATGGCTCTGCAGGAAACAGCCCCGAAGCTAATATATCCACATAGCTCCTTTTTTGGAGGGGATGCCCTAATGTATTTAAAGGACCCCAAAAGGCAACTAGAAAACCTGTTCAAAGAGCTGGAAAATCTGAGTAATAGATTGAATTGCGTCCCCCCAAATTCATATGTCAAAGTCCAAAACCCTAGTACCTCCAGCCTACCCAGAGCAAGGATACAACAGTGACTTTATTTAGAAGTAGGACCTTTGCATATGTAGTTAAAATGTAAGTTAAGATGAGGTCATACTGGAGTAAGGTGGACCCTTAATCCAAGATGACCAGCATCCTTATAAAAAAAAGGAGAAGCACGCAGAGACGGACACCCACAAAGGAGAATGCCGTGTGAAGACACAGATGTGCAGAAGGAAGACAGCCATGTGGCACTGGAGGCGGGATTGGAGTCTTACTGCTAAAATTCAAGAAACACTAAGGATTGCTGGCCACCACTAGACACTAGAAGGCCCCTGCTGATGCCTTGAACTTGGACTTCTAGCCTCCAGAACTGTGAAAGAGTAAATCTGTGTGGTGTCAGCCATCAGTTTTTGGTACTTTGTTATGACAGCCCTAGCAAACTGATACACAGAATAAATACAATGCACCCCACGAACAGTGGAGTATAGGAGTGAAGTGTAAAATCTGAAGTGCACTGCAGTAAACTTTATGACTAGGGTTGTCCTTTGCCATAAGTCTATAAAACTTATTCACATTTAAACTACATGGATAGTTTATACATTCCCCAAATTTACCTTGAGCAGCTCTGATTTTTTAAAAAGTAGTAATAGCACATTATTTTTCTCAAATAAGGTTTTGTCAATTACAGACTCACATTACAGGACTTTATTAGGAACAGCTATTTCCTAACTGTAATGCAGAGTCTAAATGCCAGTAGGCTCTTTACTATGTCCCATCCCCAGCCCAAAGCCCTCCGAAGGAAGATGCCAATCTCTTGGTAAGAATGACCTGGCTGTTTAGCAGAAATTAATTGCACATAGTTAATAGTTAATCTAGGGCTTATCTCCTGGCAACTATATATCACAAACAGGACCATTTAGGAAAAGAAAATGATACTCAATCCTGCCTTCTAAAGGTTCTATCAAAAGAAACCTTATCTCAGCCTTTCATAGGGCTAGTCAATAAGCTCTAATCGGGTGTTCATGGTAAAAATTTGGGGGAAAACCCTTGAATCACTTCATCTTATCTAATAACCTATACCCACAGGAAGTCACCTGCCCCTATTTAAACCTGAGTATCTATCATTCACTGCTCCCACCTATTAAGAGCATTGCTGGGGAGACAAGCTGCTGGTCTGCCAGATCCTGGGATACTCTGTTGTCCTTAATGGAATGGAATATAACAAAGCCCCATTAGCTTATAAGTAATTATTGGCTTACAGTGGTTTACAGTGATATGTCAAGGCACCAGGGTATTTGCTGGCTTTTGAAAACAATCAGAATATCAGAATGCCAGAGTTGAAAGGGGATATACAGGGATGGTCACCTGACCCCAATTGGTCCCTCCTGCCCCTTCTCAGAAACCCCAGGCCAAAAACATACTGCGCAAATGAAGCAGGTGTCATGCCAGGTATGCCCCAGGGCTTCGATAAACTTGTCACCAGCCTCCACTGGGAAGTCACAGCCATGACACTTGGTGCTGAACAGATTGACGTAGTCTGAAATGAAAGGCAGAGTAAGGACCTGGCATCTAGGCAGGCTGGGAAAAACATCCCAGCCACATCGACCCAGTGCCCGGACAACTGCCCAATGCACTGGGCTGGGGCAGTGGGGGCAGCCTAACTGGTCATTTGTCATCTTTCAGACAAAATACTCAGTCCCAATTTTTTTTTCCTTTTCCAATGATTTCCACTCATGTGCAGATTCAGGCTTAGTCACTCCCTTGTGTTGGATTGATTTGCAAACACTTTCTGGAACTGTTATTAACTTTCTGCAGGGTAATTTTCTCCTCTGCCTCTGTCACTCTTATAGCCCAAACAGACTAATCCTCCCACCCCCAAAGATCATATTTCCCAACAGCTATGCTTGTTTTGGAAGAAGGAGAGCCCTTAACACCTTTAAGAGTTATAGAATGTTCTTTGCTTGGCAATTCTTGCATTATTGGGCATTAGTGTTGATACAAACTTTTACTACTAGAAACAATATTTGAACTACTTTGTTGGGACATGTCCCCCTCTTCCCTAGCCAAGGAGATAACACCAAACATTATTTGTATAATGCTTTATGGTTACCAACCATTCACATATAGATGGCATTATTTACTAGTTTCTCAACATCATGGCCTATGTATTAGCACTCCCAGTACAGTGCCTGGCTCACAAGTCAACATGTCTGTGTCCAATGAATGAGTGAATGGGTGAATCAATGAATCAGTAAATCAATGAATGAAACTAATCTTTGCAAAATCCCTCAGAGATTGAACTACTATTGTTTTTCTGTTTTGTTTTATCTTGTAGTTGAGTCAAGTGAGGTTCAAAGAGGAGAAAGGCTGAGCCAGGGCCACAGGGCTGAAACACAGCAGGCCATGTCCCTGGCTTCACCACAGAGAAGAAGTGTGTGTCCTCTCTGGGTCACAGGGGCAGCAGTTCTATTGCACTCATTGTAGAACTCTCCCAGATTCTTCTAGAAAAAATTCCACAAAGTTTTCCTTTCCCCAGAAATGTACTTGTCTCTCCACAGCTCTGCCACAGTTGGCTTTTTCTGACAGCGATTTTCTGCTCAGACCCCCTGTGGAGAGTATTCCCTTTCACTGTCTTAGACCACAGGCTGAGGGGAAGAGTGTAGGGGTTAGGAACTGGGGTGCTGAAGGAAGAAAGAACTGCATTCAAATCCCAACTTATACAGGAATTGTTCAAAACTGGGGCAAGTTTTCTAACTTCACCTTTCAGGGCCTCCTGTTTCTCATTTGTCTGCTGGGAATAACTATAGTACCAAAGGCATGGGTTGTGGTACAGAGCACATAAGATAATGTATGTGAAGTGCTTGGTGCAGATACTCAAAAATATTGACTTTTATTGTAACGATCTTTGAAACAATGAAAGGAGGGAAGAGAATGTGGTTTGAGTGCTTTCCACATACCAATGGAATTAGTTCTTTTCTATAATTCTTGTTGAATCTTTACAGCAGTTCTGTGAAGAAGTATTATGCTCATTTTAAAGATGAGGAAACTGGCTGTAGAGGTTCCATTATTAAAGTAGAAGGAGCCTGACAGATGCAAAGTCCATCCTCTTCCATGGCTTCATGCGATCTCCAGGTATCTATCTGCCCTGAGCTTTGGTAAGTTGTATATCTTACATGTTTTTTCCAATGTATGGTTTCCCCTTTGGGATTTAATTATACTTTGTCATGCAAATGCTCTTAATCCTGTCTCTGTACTTAATCTCTTCAGTATGCAGAAATCTATCACATTACCAGAGCTAAGAAGACATTATTAGCTTCTTTCAGAAAATTATGGCAGATTTACGGTTCGCTTTGTGCTCTGTAGGAACTTAACCATGTGGGGTAAGAAACAGGGCTGTAGGCTAACCCATCTCCTCTGGAAGTACTTCTGACTTCTCTCTCAGTACTCCTGATTGGTCTCCAGGGGCCCTGGGCTCTCTTCTCCACCTCCACACCTCTGTATGAACCAGGTCCTGGGCTTGGAAAACCCTCCCTGCTTCATCTACCTGAATCACTGCAATCCTTCGGGCCATGGCTTCCTCTGGGAAGTATTCACCCCCCACCCCAACCAACAGAGGTGAGATGGCCTTTCTGAGGGGTTCTCCTGGGCTGTCCTCCCTCCCCATTCATTCATTCTCTCTTAACTGTCTACTTTTGTGCTGGCATATCACATGATGATGTACTTACAGATTTTAAGGGTCAAGACCCTCTCCTCCATGCTTGCCTCCTTTCACAGTTACTGGCACACATTAATGGATAAATGAAGGACAAACAAATAATCCTAAAAATCTTCTTAAACAGTGATTCCTTTTCCTGTTGTGCAACCTATGGTTTTTCACAGATTAAGCTCTTAAAATGGCTTGAATTTATTTTTGGAATGTCTAGTCTTGCCTACCCATTGATTTTTCTGTTTTAAAAAAATTTGATTCTGTATGACCTGGAGAATTGTCGGTTTGTTTTAAAATTTGGTAGCACAGGTCTGACCCTTGTACACTTTTTAAAAAACTGGTATTTTTCCCCATTTGTTCTACAAAAGGAGACTAATTGGTATTGAATTAAGTTTATGCATGGGTCTTTCCCATCAGGAGCATAATCTAATTCCTCATTTATTTATTTCTTCCTTTATTTCTCCTAATAGGTCTTTATAATTTTCTTTGACTAAGTCTCTTAAGCCCCAAGTTGAATTCATACCCTGTATTTAATGGATTTTATTGCTATTGTAAAAGGATTCCCATCCATCAAATCATAGATACTGTGTGTTGAAAAAGGGCTTAGTGTTTTTCTAGAGCAGTGGTTCTCAAATGCTAGAATCATCTGGAGGGGTCATTAAAACAGATTACTGGACCACACTCCTCAGAGTTTCTGATTCAGAAGATCTGGATTAGGGCCCAAAGATCTGCATTCCTAACAAGTTCCCAGGTCATGCTGATTGCTGCTGGTCCTAGCACCACACTTGGATTTCCAAACCCAGCTGAACATCAGAATCATCTGGCGGGAGGGCACCCCATGAAATTCTGTTTCTGTTGATCTGGGAACTTATCTTCTCTATATCTTTACAGTTCCGTAGGTGACTGTGATGCTGTACTATGTCTGGGGAGGTCCATATGAGAGGGCCTCAACCTCCCACCTCTCTTATTGTATAAGATATCGTATACAAAAGTGTCAGCTCATCATTGCAGCTAACAGGAATCTTTTTTATTCTAGATCCTCCCATTGGACAAGATTTGGCATCCTAAGATTTGACAAGCCTCCCTTCTGTGTCTTCTAAGTTGTTGATAAAATGATGATGAGATACCACAGTGAGATACCATCTCACACTTATTAGGATGGCTGCTATCAAAAAACTGGAAAATAACAGGCATGGGCAAAGATGTAAAGAAACGTGGACACTGGGCACTCTTGGTGGGATTGTAAATTGGTGCAACCACTGTGGAAACAGTATGGAGTTTCCTCAAAAAAATAAAAAATAGACCTACCACACGACCCAGCAATCCCACTCTGGGCATATACCAAAAAGAACTGAACACAGGATCTTGAGGAGATACGGGCACACCCGTGTTCACAGCAGCACTATTCACAATAGCAAGAAGCAGAAGCAACCCAAATGTCTATCAGCTTTTTTTGTGGGGTTGTCATGGAGGAGGCAATGGCCACAGTGGAACTCTATCACTCTTTTGCAAGCCTCAAACACAAATGTGGCTTATCACAAATTATGAAAGTTACAGTGCTTCTAGTCTATTAATACATCAATTTGTACTAGCACAGCAGCACTTTTATTAACTGTAAACCATCACCATGTGCACATGGGAAGGGAAAGGACAGGTGTTGTATTCTCCCTTTATGGGTGTGGAAACTGAGGCACTGAGTGACCCAGTGACTGAGTCAGTCAGCTCCTGTCAGAGCTGGAAAGAGAATTCACCAGTATCTAAGAACCCAAGACATTTCTTTCACAGTTTATTGTCAAGGGAAAAATGTTTCATTTTGTTTTGCTTTTCCCATGGAGAAACCCGGAAGTTTTCCCCTTTCCAATTTTAAAGTAAACTCACTTACTGTGTTTCTCTCTGTGCCCTCAAATTTTCTACCTAGTCATTGCTGCTCCATTAGTCTTCATAATCACCCGCTGGCTTTTCCCCTTCCTACTTGGTGTTGATCTTCTAGTTCTATGGTTTGAACTCCCATGTCCATATTACCTTTGGTGGAAGCTGCCCCACATCCTTTTCTGAAGGAGGCAGGCTATGAGGGAGTGAGTGGCTAGTTAGCCAGGCCACCCAGCTCTCTGCCGAGGGCACTGTCTTCAGAATTCACAATAATTTACTTCAAGTGTTCAGATAACATACAGCATTTTGGCGGACAGAGACACTCTGATTCAGACAGGGAGATTATAGGACTCCAAAGGAACATCAAAGGAGCAGGGAAAAGGATGTATTTGGGGCTCTACCCACTTTCTCTAGTTTAATCGTTACCTCAACTCTGTGAGGCAGGTGTTTATTACCCCCTTTTTATAGATGGGGACAGTGAGGCTCAGAGATGTTCAGTAACTTACCCAGGGGTTACAAAGCTAGATTGAGGTGGGGCCTGCAACAGACCCTCGGACCAAGTCCAGAGCCAAAGCCTTCTCAGACTACATGTTGTCTCCAAATCAAAGTCATCTGAAAGGTGTCCCAAGTGGTTACACGATGCTGCCTGTGTTCCACATATCTGGTACAGGCAGGGAAGGGAGCAGGAACTGAATGTGTAAAAAAGAAGCTCTAGACACCACCCCCAGCCACCTCCCTTAGGAAGCATGATTCTGCCGTTTGGAACCTCCTGATGGTTCAAGTGAACAGACAGGCTGGAGTTCCCTGTGCCTGCCCCCTTTTTCCAGACTGTGGGGCCTCCCTGCACATAGTGGTCCTACCTTTCTCGCAGTAGGGCTCCCCATCTTCCATGTGGAAAAGGCTGTTCCCGAAGGGCTTCTTGCAGGCCGCACAGACGAAGCAGGTGGTGTGCCATGTCTGTCTCAGGGCATGCATCACTTCCTGGGGGCAAGAGCCTCAGCTCAGCATGCAATGGTCTAGGGCAGAGAAGGAACCAGGCCCCTTCTTCCCCCCAGGTCCCAGCTGTTGCTGGAGCATCCCATTAGTGAGCAGGGCAGGGGAGCTCAGGAAGCTGGCCTTGGATGTGCCAAGAAAAGACCCAGGGGTGGCAGAGAAGGGGTTCCTGCTTATGCAGCACTTGTGGGGTGCCAGGTTCTTTCTGTGCTTACAAAAGCTGTGATGCTTAACCCACCCTTCAAATCTGGGAGGGGGGTACTGTTTGTTCCCACCGTTTTACCAAAGGGGCATCAAGGGTCAAGGCCACATGTAGGTGCATGCACAGTGAGGGCAGACTACGATACAACAACTTGCTTTGCAGAAGTTTTACCACTAGTTCAAGCTGTGTGGCCCAGGCATGAAATCATCTCTTATGTCAAGTTCATTTGCTCTCTAGTTCATTGGTGGCAAATCTCCTTCTAGGAGAGAAATGAGTTGCTCTCTCCTGTTAGCAGCAACTTCTTGGCTCCCTAATGGGACCCCACAGACTGGGTGGGGAAGGCATGAAGTCAGAGGAGAGGGATGCTGCCCACTTACCCCCATGATTTTGGTGTTGCACTTGGCACAGACGGGGGCAAAGAACTGTTCATAACACCGCTCACAGTAAACATTGTTCTGCTCCTCTACAAAGCACATGTCTGCCAGGGAGGTCTTGCAGTAGGCACAGTTGAACTCTTCTGGGTGCCAGGAGCGGCCCATGGCTACCAGAAAGGGACCCCTGGGGAAGCAGAGAATAGCACCTTCCAAAGCAGCCTCACAAGCCAGAGATCAGCTATTTCAAGACCCCTAACAATATTCATGCTTTGACCTAATAACCCTGACTTTGGTGACTTTTCTAATGAAACAATGTGAAATTCAGGTAAAACTCCATGAAAACAAATGTTCTCTGTTGCATCACTTACAGTAAAGAGACATGGCGAAGCATTCAAACACCAGCAGTAGGGACTGACTGGGTAAGTGTATTACAGAATATCCATTCAGTTGACTACTGATAATTATATTAACTAGAGTAACGATTGTGGTGCCACTGGCTAACATTTATTAAGTGCTTACTCTGTGCCTGGCACTCGTCAAGAAGAAATTTGAATTTATTAACTTGTTTCATTCTTCCAACAATCCTGGAAAGTAGATTACGGTACCCATTTTCAGATAAGGAAACTGAGGCACAGAGAGGTTAGGTAAATTGTTCAAGGCCATAGGGCTAATATGATAGATCAAGTACACAAATCTGGGTAGTCTACTTCCAGATTCCTAGTCAGAATAGTGGGACAATGAGGAAATGTTTTATATTTTAATTTTTACTTATGAATTTTCTAATTCTTCTCCAATGCATATTATTTTATTTTTACTTAAGTGTATTTCTCATACACATAAGCTCATACTCTCCACTGACACACACATACTATAAACATTCTATATTCAAACAAGCACCACCCATGTTCCCTGACTTCTAAGCATGAAATGACTTTTCATTTCAGTGTGGTGGTTGCCCACCAAAGTTCTGAGCATCACAGGCCTGTCTATGGAAAGACCCAGAAGCAGCCCTACAGGAAAGCTGGGTCAAAACTAGCACTGTCAGCTGGCTTGCAACATGCCCAATAAACCTACTGACAAGACCTGTGATTCCCAGAACCCGGCCTTAGCCCAAGGGGGAGGTCCTGGCACGGAGCACTGTGCTGGGAGCTTCACCCACTTACCTCATGGAATCTTCCCAACTTCCCAGGGAAGTGGGTATCACACGGGTATGGAAGCTAAAGCTCAGAGAGAGTCAGACCAGACAGTGAGCCAGAGAGGGACACAGGCTGCGCTGCATTCGGCCTTCCCCCTATACCTGCCCCCCACTCCCTCTGCCCCACCACAGAGCCCAGAGGGCAAGGAGCCCGAAGCCTGGTCCTGCCAGCACCCCAGCACTGGGCACAGCTGGACCATACCGGATGACGTTGTTGCAGTGGCCACAGAGTGGAGTCCGGCTGCTGGCTGGGAAGCGCTCGGCCCTCTGGACGGTGCCCCTGGCCAGTGGGGACACCTGGAGACCCGTCGGGGTGTAGGCAGGGGCTCCTCGGGGCAGAGTCTGCTTGCTGATGGAGGTTGTGCTCTTGCCAGGAGCAAACTTCTGGGAGAAGCTGTCATCTGTCACCCATGGGGGCCGGCTGGCAGACTCTGCAGGGCCCCCACTATAGGCCACTGAGGGTGCAGGGTTATAGCTTGGGGCTGGTGAGGGGGAATAGGCTTGTGCTGGGGAAGAGGAGTAGGTAGGAGCAGGCGAGGGGGTGTAGGCAGGGGCAGGTGAGGGGTTGTAGGGAGCTGGACTGTAATTGGCCCCTGGGGATGGGCTGTAAGTAGATGCAGGCACTGCAAGCCAAAAACACCCAAAGAAAAAGGTGTCAGGAGTCCATCTCCCCCAACTTCCCCACCCCTTGCCAGAGAACTGTAAAAGGCAACTTTAACATTAGAGCAGAATAATTCAATTTTCACAGGAGACACGTCCCTGAACCTCTTGATACCCTCGATTTGTCTTTGCAGCAAGGAGCTAAGGGAGATAAAGGGCAATCTGGGCAGAGCCCTCAGGAGCTTGGACAGGGCTGGGAAAGGGATACAGCTATAAATATCTGCAGCTGTGTAGGGTGGAGCTCAGCCAGGCCTTGCTGCCCGAGACCTGCAGAAGACAGGGAGTGAGGGCAGGAGATGCTGGGCGGAGCTCACATCTGGGTCTCCCCACCCCCACCCACCAGGGCCAGGGAAAAGGGTGGGAGTGGGTCAGCTTGGCCTTAACTGGAAGATGCTTTTGGTTGTACTCTGCCCAGTGATTTGACATCTGAAATGCCTCCATTGCATGCATTTGCTGAACCTGGACCTGGTCCAGCGTTCAGGACAAAGCAGATGACAGCACAGCCAGGCTTTCAGGCTCAGGTTTCGGGTTTAGTTTCTATCATTTTCTTGAAAACAGCTTGACTTGATTTGTATGGAGGGTCAGGGGAGAGACTCCATTTTGGTTTAATTAGGGGGGGATGTAGGGGAGTCTTAAAGGAGTCATTCAGAGGGAGCCCGGGCAGAGATGCTGGGGTGACACAGCCCAGATCTAGCTGTCCCCTGGCCTGTGGCTGCTTCTGGGGCACCTGTGCTGCCCTACATCACTTTGGTAGAAACTGAGAGTGTGTGCAAGTGACTGTGAGGAGGTTACCAGGGAAGTCAGAGTGCAGGAAAAGAATGAACTGCCCACTTCTGGAAGCCCCTTCTCTAGCTCACTGAGATGGGAAGACCTTTTGGGGGCAATAACACAAAGGAGCATTGCAGCTGCTCAGCCAAAGCCCTCTGAGGCCTGGGCCCTCAAAACCCGGGCTTCTAAGATCTGCTGCCTCCACTGTGCAGCCAGTCAGGGCAGACCCAGCTGCATCCTGCACACATGGGCTAGTCAGCCTCCTCTTCCAGCAAGGGAGATTTCAGAAGGCTCACTTCAGCTCACAGTCTGCTCCACTGGAAAGAGGCCTCATCCCTCCCACCTGGAAAGCATGTTAGGACAGCCTCCCTCCATTCCAGAGCCTGGCAGAGGTGCAGCACAGTGGACACACTTCGCTGAGGGGAGCTGAGGCAGCCCCCATCAGGCTCCAGGCTGGAAAGGAAGGTCTTTCTCAGGCTAAAGTTCTCGGCCTGGTGTCTAGTCTCTCCCACCTGGCTCCCCAACACCACCTTGGGTGGCCTGTGGCCTGCTGCTCCAACTCTGCACCTTCTCCTCCCAGCTGGCTGGCCCTTGAGAGCTGGGTGACACAAATGGCCCAGTGCTGGCAGGTGGTACATCCTGGTTGTGTCCTTTGGCAAGTCCCCTAACATCTCTGGGCCTGAATTCCCTTGTCTAAAAATGGCAATAATAATTCTTAGTACCTCACAGGGTTATGAGGATTTGGGGAGGTAAATGTAAAGTGCTTAGCTGAGTACCTGGCAGGGTGTAGGTGTCACTAAATGTTAGTGAGGATGGTGGCGACAATGGCACCTGAGGCCCACGATGGGGATGAACTCTCAGCTCATCCTGACAGTCTGATGGTCACCTGGGGCAACACCACACAAGGAGACTGTGGGATGATGGAGGGGTGTGAGGGGATAGGAGATGTGACACTGAAGTCAGATAATCTGGGACTAAATCTACTCACCAGTGGTGGAATGTGTAACACCCTTGCTTGCCCCACAGGGAGTGGTGGGGACCTACTGGAGTGACATGGTACATGAACTTTGTAAAATTGGGAACCCCAAGTTTGAGGTGCTGTCACGTCCCTCATGACTTTGCAGAGATCCCAAGTGCCCAGAGCAGAGGGTCCCAAAATGCTGGGGGCAGGGGTATGCAAGGAATGTCATCAGGTAGGGGGAACCAGGAAGAACAGCTTCATCCCACTGGGTTATATATAACTGGGTTCTGCACAAGGTTTTTTGTTTCCTTTTTAAATTTTTCATAATGTGGAAGATCTCTTCTAAAAGGGATTAAGAACAAAAGCCCTAAACCTGTGCTGTCCAACACATAGCTCTGTATGGCTGTTAAGCTCTTGAAATGTGGCTAGTCCAAATTGGTAATGCTCTAAGTGTGAAATACACACCAGATACCAAACACTTAGCACAAGAATGTAAAATATCTCATTAATAATTTTTGTATTGATTGTATATTGAAATGATGTTTTGAGTACACCGAGTTAAAAAAATATATTAAAACTGATTTCACCTGCTTCCTCTTAGTTTTTTAAAAATGCGGCTACTGGAAAATTTATTTTTATTGGACAGTGGCTACCAAGTACTGACTGCTTCCACAAGCCAGGTCCTTTATGTGCATTATTTCATGTAATACTTGCTGCAATCCGATGAGGCCCATGATGTTTTTAAGTACACTTTACAGATGAGGTATGAGCTTTAGAGGGTTTACCAGAGTACCTGCAAGTTAAGGGCAGGTGAACTATCAAGGTCAAACTGGAGCTCAGGCAGTCAGATTCGACTCCAGATCCTCTGCTTCATCACTCCCTAGGCAGCAAAACATTATTTTGCACGCCACTTCTAAATCGCGCCCTTGCCCACTTTGCCCGCTTCACCCACCCTATCCCTCTGCCTGTCAGGCATTCTCTTCCCTCTTCAGGAAAGCCTTCCAGACTCCCTGATCCACCCCGTTTACAAAGCCCGCACCAGCACCACACGGAGGTCTCAGCAGGTCAAAGGCATGTCCAATCTGGATCCCTGTAAACTGCTTCCTTGCTCAGGGCTACACCCGCGCAGAGCTAGGGACCTTCCTTCCCAAAGGCGCCGGCCAGCAGCTCCTCTCCCCCACCACGTCCCCCTGCACCGGTGGGTGAGGTTCGGGGCGCAGGGAGCAGCTGTGTCATGGTCCCCTTCCCTCCGAGCCCTTCAGCCTGCCTTGCCGCGCCACCCCCGACACGCCAGGAGACTCCGTATCCCATCAGAGCCCGGGGCTGTTGCCATTTCTGCTTGACGGAGTTAAGCCTGTCCAAATTAGAAGGTGATACTTCATCTCTAATTGGCAAGTTCAAAAGGCCCCTATCGCACTCGGCGGCCTCGGGAATGTGTAATTAAACAAGGTGATTTCTGACTCATTCCAGGTCCGGCCTGGCTCCCCGCGAGCGCCCGGCCCGCGGGCCGACGTGTTCTCCCTCCGCCCGCGCAGGGCTCTCCGCCCTGGCCCGGGCCTTCGCGCCGCCGCCGCCCGGCCCCCTCCCGGGCCCCAGGTGCTCAGGGGAGCGGCCGCCCAGCGCCGGCGCCAGCGATAAGATCCGGGCTGCGAACGCCACCCTCGGCCCTGAGGGACCCATGCGGGAGCTGCGGCCCGGGCCGAGCCGGGCCGAGGCTCTCCCGGGCCGCGCGCCGGCTCCTCCCCCTCTCCCGGGCCGGGGTCCGCAGAGAAGGGGAGGGGGCTCGGGCCTAAGTCCCCCGCTTCTCCTTGGGCTGCCGGGCAGCAGCCCCGGGCCCCACCCGGCAGCCGGCCTCCGTGGGAAGGAGGGTGGTGGCAGGCTGGCTCTGGCGCGCCCCTGGGCCGCCACCTTCCCTCCGGGCAGGAATGAGTTAACGTCTGCTCGGCCTGGGAACGCGGCGGGGGCCGGCGGCCCCAAGGCTCCGGCGCGACTCGCCCGCCTGGGCTCGGGCCGGGAAAGAGGAGGAAAGGGGCGCCGTGCAGATCAGGCCGTGTGGCCCCCTGGCTGGCCTGCAGAGAGCAGCGTGCTGGCGCGGGGGCGCCGAGGCCCGGGGTACGCCCCGGAAGGTGTCCCAAAGGACCTGCCGGGAGGGAGCCCTGTCCTGGCTGGGTCGGAAATGCCTTACTTTTGCCGCGACAGAGCCTCACCTCTACCCGCCACTACTCATCCAGAATCCCTTCCACCCTCCCTCCGGTGTTCCCCATCTCTGCAAAGCAGCCACTTCCTCCAGCGCCCGCTGAGATTTCTCACCATTGCAGCCAGCTCCAAATTGCTCCCTAATCCTGTGGATTTTTAACCTCAGAATTTTGTGTCCCTGCCTCTGAAGGGGCAGTGAAGGGCACCTTCTGGGTGCCAAGCACTGTGCTGGGGCCTTAATTTCGTCCACAGAACACGACGTGTACAGAGTATCATGCCCATTTTTCAAAAGAGGGAATTCAGGCAGGGGAGATGAGTACTTGCCTCAGAGAGCATAGCGGGCCGTGGGCAGGGGAGTTGGTCTGATGCCAACGCTGCTTCTGCTGCCCTCACTCAACACCGTTGAGAGCTTTATAAAACCGGCTGGCTGTGGCCCCGCTGCTCTACACATAAAGCAGCCTTCCCCAAGCAAGGCCTCTTCTCACTTACCTGACTTGTCATCCCCACTCTCCAGCTACAGTAGTACTTACTGGGGGGTCTCTCATTTCCTCAACAGGATAGTCTGCTGAGTCCACACTTTGCTGTTCTTTACCCCATTGCTACTTGACCAACTCTGCCTCTCTTGCATGACATAGAGAAGCTCCCTCTCTGTCCTCTTAGCATTAACTACCTTATTCTTTCCCAAACAAGTCATTAACTTCCTCACTTCATCAGTTTTGCCAAATGCAAAAATGGTTTGTGTGTATAATAATTTGAAGGGAAAGAGCAGCTTGGTTTCTACTGCAAGTGGAAAATCATTATTGCTTTCCACATTCAAGATGGCTATAAAGAGAAATATGTTGAAAGTATAATGTGTTAAATGAAATATGTGTGCCCACCTAGATTCCTGTCTCTCCCATCCATGCAACTGGCACCAGGGTTCCACTGTGTCACCCTGGTGATCCATTACCCCTGTGTGTCTGGCTCCCAGAGTGCACAGCTGACAGCCCCTCCCCTCTTCATTCCCATGTACCCCCTCAACAGCATTCACTCCTTTATTTGTTTCTTCACTCACTACCTTTGCTGAGCATCTCCTCTGTGCCAGGCCTGAGTCAGGTGCTGAGGATACAGTGTAGAAAATCTGCCACAGCCCTGCCCTCCTGGGATTCAGAGTCAGAATCCAGTGGGAAGAAGGGGATTGATGTCAGCACTCAGGGCCTGGATGCCAGGAGCCCTTCTGTGAGCACATCCTATAGATCAGGGCACATAGGACCTTCTCCAGCCTAGGAATATACCTGCTAAAGAGCTCTTAGATTCATTGAGCAGGAACAGGCAGGGGAAGGTGGGGAGCAAGGAGGAATGTAAATTGCCTTTAGGCTCTGGGGAGCAGGCCCAACTTTGCCTAGGAAAGCAGGAGACATGGGGCTGAGCCCTCGTCCCTGCAAGGGGGCCCCAGGCAGTGATGAGAATGGGGACCAGACAGCCAGTGAGCCCAGCCACAGTCAGGCCCTGCAATGGCCATTCTGTTCCCTGTCACGTATGCTCTCCATGCCTCCAGTTATCCTGCCTCAGCTGAGGAAATCAAAGACCTGTCAGGCTGAGTAGCTTGCCCAGTGTCACACTGTGATGCAGTAGGTCTGTTCAAAGTTTTTTTGAACTTTTTTATAACTCATTTTTGTTATAGCTGCCTGTCCTCCAGCTCGAGCCAAACCTAGACTCCTGGAGAAACAAGCTCCTCCCCTCTAAACCCTCTCTTCCCTCATCTTGAGCCTGGAAATCCCCAGCCAAGAACCTCCTCTTCCTAAGAGCTGCGAGTCTCTAACCCTGCCTGGCATTGCCCACCTGTCTCCCCAGGGCCAGAAGCAGGCTCCATGGAATTCTGGCCCAGAATTAGGGGAAGGAGGGCTGAGCCTCATTACTAGAGCCTTGCTGACCACCGTCCTACTGTGGACATGGCCTTGGATTCAACCTATGGAGCCTATACACTGCCTGACAGCCTTCCGTACCTCTCCTGCCTCTCACCTGGCTGGTAGACAGAAGGCCGGATGCTGGCGGTGGTGACAACCCGGGGCTTGGGTGCAGGGGCAGCTGAGGCCTCACAGTATGTGTGGGCAACGGGTGCTGGAGAGGTTGCTGCTGCGGGCCTGTAGGCAGAGGCCTGGGGCCTAGAATCAAGGAGGCAAGAGTTAGTAGCCAGAAGGACAGCCCCACCCAGGCCCTGGGGCCTGCAGCCCTGGCAGGTTGGCTCCCTATCTTCAGGAGCCTCTGAGAGGAAGAAGCCTGAGAGAGGTGATCCTGGGGAGCTGCCAGAGCTGTAAAGGAAAGACCATGATGGTCTTGGAGGGACGAAGCTCCTCCTTGGGTGCTGAGTCTTTGTGAGTTTGATTAGAGCAGCAGAGACACCTTGAGAAAAAAAGTCCATTGCTGGTGCCGCTGCCTTAGAAGAGAGCAGGGAAAGCCACCAGCTGAACAGGAAGACCCATGGAGAACCCTCCACCCCCATGGGGAGAGACTGCTGGGGCTGGGGATGGCACGGGCAGGGGCAGGAGAGAGGAAAGAGACAGAGGTAGCCAGAGCTAACCCACTCCCTCAACCTTCAGACCTTCTGGGCACCCCAGTCTCAGCCCACTGGGCCTCCCACTCCTCCTCCTCCTTTCTACTACTGTTGCTGGAGGAAACAGTAAAGGCTCTGGTTTATGGGTGAAAGTGCTCCAGGAAGTACTCATGGGAAGCCAGGGGACAGGCAAACACACACACACACACGCACACACACACACACACACACACACACACACACAGGCTTCTCTTGCCCTCTTCCTACTGGGTCAGCTGCCAAGAGGCCTAAGGCAGCTTGTTCCCACTTGTGACCCAGGGACCATGGGACCAAAGAGATGGTGAAAAAAGAGTCCCAGTTCATTGCCCTCCGGAAATGCTGTCTTTAGCCTCTCCTCTTGGAGAGTTAAAGGCTCCAAGAACTCCTGGAGTTAAGCAGCCTGTTTAACTCTGTCTGACCTAATATTTTCTAGTTAGTCTGTGAAACCCTCTCTGCCCAGTTTTCTTTGTCAATTTAAAACTAATGAACATCTTAGTTTTCTAAGAATGAGATGAACAGGTCCCTGGTTTCTCTCTGCTCCTTTCACATCCCAGCAGGGACCAGCTGACCACACCAAGGGCAAATGGGCTGTGGATGGGGGTGCTGGATCAGCTAGCCCCTGGAAATAGGGTGTCCCCCAGCCATGGCTTCCTGCCGCCCTTCCACCTGTTCCGCACGGGCCCAGGGCCTGCACACCTGTGCTGGTCAGAGTCGTAGGCTGATGGAGTACCTTCCTCCTTGGGGCCCTAGGAGGAGGCAGCCCTGAGCTAAAAAGCCACTGCCAAGCTCCTGAGTAGATCCAGAAGAGTGTGCAGGACTGCCCCAGACAGGTTGGAGGTAGAATGAGCCTCAGACAGAAAGTCTCCCAGACCTGGAGGTGGTGTACAAGCTTGCCCTGCCAGGTTGCCACATTTCTGGTTGAGTGAGGCCATTGTCTACCCTCCCTGGGCTGCCTGCCCTTCTCTGATAAACCCCAGAGGAGTGGGGCCTAAATGGAAAGGAAGAGGCAGTGTCCAAGGGGTGCCCAGCTTTCACTGTGGTGGGAGACAGCCAAGGGTAGAAGGCCCCATCTTAGCTAGACTCTCCCACCAGTGGAAGATGCTTCCCAACATCCCAGGAGCTATGGTCCTGTGTTAGGGATCGGTGTTGATGGAGGAAGTGGAGGCTTAAGACATCCAGTAAGAATTCTGAGGCCATGCACCAATGAAAGGCTGGGGTGTCCATTTGCCTCCCCTGACTCCCTCTAGCTCCATCCCAGCCCCTGTACAAGAAGGGGAGGTAACTGGGCCCCGAATGTGGTCCTCTGCTCCCTTCTGCAGCAGCTCTATCGAAGTAGCCCCTCCAGGTCCCTCTCTGACCTCCACCTGGGCCTCATCTCTCTTTGCAAGACAAAGTGAAGGAAGGGTTTGCCCTGCTGAGGGAGTCCCAAGGGCCCCAGGACACTGAGGCCTGGAGCATGGTGCTAGTGCCTACTTTTGAGCAGAGCACTAGTGTACAGAGCTCCCCGCCCAAACTTGCCACTCAACAACAGGAACATTTCTACCCTCCTACAGTTTCTTCTTAGTGCTCTTATCTGAAGAGATTCTGGTGTGCAGAGAGGAAGCAGCTTGTTAAGTAACCCCCAGGAAGCTGGGATAAAACAAGCCCTGGGGGCCCAGGCTGGGCTTCCCCTGGAGGTTTGGGTTGGGCTGGGGAAATCCTGCACACAGCACCACCTGGGTCATTGTGAAGCCGGGGGGTCGGGGGGTCGGGGGCCCAACACATAGGCCTGCCCACCGCTCTGCTCATCCTTTGTCCTGTCTCAGGCTGAACCAGGCACATGTAAATCCTGACCCAGAGAGGCATGTCTTTCCCAGCAAAACACTGAGAGCTGACTCTGACCCCAACACCATCTGACAATTCCATGCAATCCAGAAAGAGCTGGGCCCGTCCAGCCTGTTGCACTGCCTGGCTGTTCCAGAATGACCCATCCAGCCTGCCCCTCTGCCTTCCTGTACCTCCCTGTACTCCTTTCAATGCCCCCCTCCTTTGCTGGGTATCCAGGAGGTCGGACTGGAATGTAGTAACTCACAATACTCAAGGGCATTTTATGTGCTAGGTGTTTTGCATATACCTTTTCTATTCCAACCCTAAACAGTAGACTTTTAGATAAACGTCTTAGCAGATTAGGAAACTGATGTTGGGAGAAGCTAAGTCACTTTCTGAAGGTTACAGATAGTAAGTGGTGGAGCAGAGATTTAAATCCCCGTACACCAGGTGCTTCTGGCATTAGCATGCTCCTCCATCAAGAGAAGAGAGGGTACAGGACGTGAGCAAAGTTAACTAAATATCTGACCAAATCTGACCTGCCCTCTGTGCCTAGGTCAATGTTCCCTCTTCCGCAGAGCCTTCCTTGTCTTCCTGGGCCAAAGGGATAACTTTCATTCTCCCTGATCCCAGTCTCAAGAACACACTTTCCACACAGTCTCTACTGAGATACTGAGTGTGTGTGTGTGTGTGTGTGTGTGTGACTTTTTCCTCTCTCAGCACATGTGCCCCTGATCTCTAACTCTGTCTTCAGCCACACACAGTGCGCTCCCCTGAAACACACTTGCCCTTGTGTTCGCTCTCAGCACCAAGTAGTGCTAGGCTTGGTTTCTCCAGAGCCCTGGGGTCCTAACCAGCTTGGATGAGACTTCCTGAGGGCCAGACACAGGTGCTGACAGATGGCCCAGGCGAGGCCTTTTCCGTGGTCAGGACCGGCACCTGCAGGCCAGTTACCTTGGACTGTCCGCAGGGCTTGAGGCAGGGGCTGCGGCAGAGGTGGCGGCACAGGCAGTGGCTGCGATCAGGGGTGGCGAGGCTGCGCTGGGAGAGGCAGCAGTGGGCGGCTGGGCAGAAGCGGGCAGCAGCGGGGTGGCGGCCTGGCTGGTGCACACTGGAGCATGCTCAATAGGGGTGCTGATGAGGCGGACCGAGAAAGACAACAGGTCAAGGGGGCCCCTCTGCATGGGGGTGGTAGCCACAGCAGAGGCAGGCTGGGTGGAAGGCACTATCCATACTGTAAACAGAGCAGGATCTTCCAGAAGGCGTGACCCCAGGCTCAGGAAAAGAGACCTCCTAGCACTCCAAGAGGGAAGGGTTCAGACCATAGAAAGGATCACCGCAATATTTCAAGCCTGGCAAGATTCCTTCCCACCCCCGCCCCACCATTTCTGTGTACTTCCTAATTTTTCTTTCTCAGTATGTATTATAAGAACAGTGTGGTAGAAAAGTTGATTATCAATCAAGGTTCCTCCCCTATCCTGTTTTCCTTTCGCTTTTGCCCTTTTCCATTTATCCAGAGGCTTGTACTGCCTTTGAGAAGGGGTGATAACAATGAAAAAAACAGAGGAAGATATTTGAATGTCATGGGCTTAGGCTCTAGAGTGGTGAGAGCCTGGCTTTTGGCTGCAAAGGACTCAGGGTGCTGACAATACATTTGATCTACCATGCCAGACAGAACAAGGGGATCTGAGCCAGCAACGGGACAACATAGCATGGGGGATTCAAGATTAGGGGTAGCTGCACCCGTTTTCTGGGTTAACTCTGGGGAAGTAGCAGGACTCCTGGGTCTCCATACCCATAGTGAAGGGACAGACAGACCTGAAACAGAATCCTGAACTCCCATCATGTGGCCTGGGTGCTGTAGAGGGTTTCCCACACACCCAGGAGTCACATGGACATGGCTCTGAGTACGTACTCATCTGAAAGGCCCTGTAATTGCGAACCAGAGAAGTGACTGCTCTGCCAGTGTGGACCAGTGTGACCAGGCGGGATAGGGATATCCCAGCAGATGCCAGCACACATGGACCATGACCAAAAACCAGGTTCCCATGTGTCCCACCCCACCCCTTCTGGCACTCTCTAAGTGCCTCTTCCCCCCACAGGAGAAGAGCATCAGAGCCTGAGGGGTGGGATTAGATTAGTGCCACCTGCAAAATAGGGCAAAGAATACGAATTAAATTATAGGAAAGCAAATAAATGCACATTCTTTGCTTATTTGGGTCATTGGACTAAGATTTGTACTTGCTACAACAGTAGCAGGATAAATAACTTCCCTGTCTAAATAAATGTAAGTCATTTATTGACCTCTTATAGACAATGTGCCAGGCATGTGTCTTTAATTCCTCACACAACCTCTGAGGTGGGTATTATTGACTCTATTAATAATGAGAGAATGGAGACTGAGGGAATTCAAGTGCTCAAGCTCCTAGAACATATCAGTATTGACAGCAGGGTCTGACTGTGGTGCATTTGGATTTGAAGCCTTACCTTCTACCTCAAGTGGTGGAAGGAAGAAACTTCTGGAGGGAGAAAGAAACTTCTTGTGATCAGTCCAAGTAGAACCTTTCCCCAACAAAAAGCAGTATTCTTTGGAAGAATTGGAATAATAATCTCCCTCTATGACTGCTTACCATATGGCAGGCTTTGTATTACATGGCTGTATAAGTATTACTCCATTACTGCATTTGGCCTTTTCAACCTCCTGGGCTGTTGCTATCATGATTTCATTTCAGAGATGAGGAACCTGAGGTCCAGAGAGACTGAATCTCTGCTAAAACATCACACAGCTGCCAAGTGACAGAAAGGTGTGAAGGTAATCACTATACCTCTTCTCAGACTTTAATATGCACATGAAGTTGCCTGGGAATCTTGTTAAAAATGCAGCTTCTGGTTCAGTAATAGGTCTGGGGCTGAGAGTCTACATTTCTAAGCTCCCAGATGATATGGATGCTGCTTGTCTGTGGACCCACTTTGAATAGCAAGGCCACTCAGGTCTGAGTAGCAAAACTACAGAGGTCTGTTCCCAATAGGAATGCACATGGACCATGAGTTGTTTACCAAAGCATTGCCAAATTGCTGTCCTCCATCCAGCAAGGGTGTGTGGTAGAGAAAGGCATGAAAGTGTGAGAGGGTTGGGGAGGAAGAGAGCTGGAGATGTGGCAAGGTTGTGAGTTGACTGCCCCATGGGAGGGAGCACCATTCTTCTCTGTGACTGTGTGGGGAACATCCAGGATGGACAAGGGTTGTGGCCATGTCCTGTTCAGCCCTTTCCCAGCTTAGTGGATCAGAGAGGAGGCCTCAGGCAGCCCAGCTCTCTGGCCTGCAGCAGCACCTTGCCACGGCCCTTCCATGAGGCTGCTCACCCACCTTGTATGAAAGAACCTGGCTTCTAGAAGCCATGCCTACCGAGCAGCTGCCTCAGACAAGCAGCTGCAGGCCCTGAAGCCATACTGCTAAGCTGGCTACTCAGACCCTCCTCTTGGCATGGGCAGGAGTAGCCTGGAAGACCCAGGCTGGCACAGGACACAAGGTTTCCTTTGCAATTCTCCCTGACCCTGTCTTCCATGGGCTTCTAGGAACTGAGGACACTGCTCAGGACACTGCCCCAGAAAACATCTGGGCTGGGGACAGTATTCTGCAGGGCAAATAGGAAGCTGGCTGTGCCTGTCTCCTTTGCTCCAGTCCTGTCAGACCAGCTTACCTGGTGCTCTCCCAGGCAGTGCTCCAAATGTACCCTGGGTTCTGGGGGGTCAGGTTGGAGCAGGACCTAGACCCTAGGAAAATTCATGGTCAACTGCAGTGCCAGGACAAAGGACATGCATGTGAGCCTGCTGCTTGGGGTTCTTGCTGAGTGACCTCCTACTGGGGACCACTGCAGACACCAAGCAGCCAGGGCCTAGGGGAGTTGGGCATGGTGTTGGATGGCATCCTGGAGGGTCTTGTATTCTTGTCCAGTCAGTTCCTGCCTGAAGTCCCATGAGTCCCCAGAAAGCCCAAGAAGAGGTACCAGAGAGCAAGCACTGCAGGGAAGGTACTGGCTTCAGTCCTAAAGACAGTGCTCATGAGATCACCCAGCCTGGTCTTGGATATAGCTGTCTCCCACCTCAGTCATAAAGCACCTCAAACACCTAAATAAAAATTAAACCAAACCCCCTATATTCAAAAGCTCACACTGCATGGGGAGGATGTGGCCAGAGGCAAAACAGCCTCAGATAGCCTGGCTACTGTCCCCTTTCAGCCATCTCTTCCCTCAACCCAGCTGCCATCAGGGGGAATGTGCCAAGCCTTTACCTCTGCTCTGTGGTGGTGGCCCTCGGTGGAGGGAATGGCAGGGCTTGGTGGATGGCAGTGTTGTTACATATGCAGAGGGTGAGGGTGGTACTGGTGGTGATGCTGCGTTGTGGGGTGGTCACTGGGCTCAGGCTAGAACCACTGGTGATGGTTGGAGGTGTTGCGATTGATCACGCTGGGGGATGGTCACCATTATTGGGGTTATGATACTATTTTTATTGGTTGAGAGAATGGAATATGAAGATCTTTGTTAACTGGGTGATGACAGGACACCAGTCAGGTGACAGGTCTTAAAATTGTCCAGCTGCCACCACCTAGCTGGCATTCCATCTTGTAGCCTGGTGACTGTTGTTCGGGGCAGCACTGACTGCATCACTGTGCTGCACTGCACACCTCCAGACGCCCTGCTGACATCACCGTCTATGCAGAGGACAAACTCGAGAATGGTGTGCAGCGATCCCCAGGACTACAGAGTGAGTGATGTCCTGCAAGCGCTGCTGGCTGCACACTGCCTTCAGAGCACAAAGTACCCTCCCCTGGCATTCCAGCTCTGCACTACTAACCACAACATCCTCTGCCTTCCCTCCATCCCAGCCAAACTGATCCACTTGGGATTCTGAGACCCCCTTTCTTCTCACCAGCACCTCTGCTCCTTCTGCTTAGAGTACCTGTCCAGTCTTCCCTAACTGCACATGCCCCCATCTTTACTGTCCTTGAAAATCAAACACACAGACTCCTTCTTCCAGGAAGCTGTCCCTGATCCTCCAGTCAGAGCACTGCATGTCTCTGGACCTCATATGGTCAGCCTTGCACCATGGTCACTCACAGCCACATCAGCCCTTTCTGATTCCTTTGGCACCCCCAGCAGCCAGGCATGGTGCCCTGACTAATGCCCATAGACACGGAATGCTGAATGAGGACATCTCTCCTGTTTACTCCAGAGGGCTTTGTGTGGACCCTTGCACTGGGGCCATCCAAGGTCTGTGTGCAGGGGCCTGGGGTCACTGGAAAAGGCAGGCTGCAAAGCAAACAAGAACCTTCCAGGGCTTCAAGAGGACTACAACAGTTCAGGGGCTGGGGCCAGGAGGCTGCAAGGCCACCCATAAACTCTGATTAATTGGCTCAGGTCCCCTGCCAGTGTTAGGACATCCACTGTCTAGGTAGCAGCCCCTGGCCCTACCCTTGGGACTTGCAAATCCTCAATAAAAGGTCAGCCAAATATGGTTGTGTTCCACGATGCCTGGATGTAGGCAAGAGCACATACACTCACCCTCCCCTGTTGGTCCTCCAGCCAGCCTGCCCCACCAGTCCCTGGCCTTGGCCCTGGAGTCATGCTGCAAGAGGTCGGAAGAGATGGGAAGCCAAGGTAGAACAGGTGAGTAGGGGACTTTGGGGGCACACCACAGGGTAGTGGGCAAGACAGAGCAATCTCCCTGGCCAGTCCTTCAGACAGAATTGTCAAGGTCGCTGGAGGCAGAAAGAAAGCCTATACCCAAGCAGTGAGAGTGGGAGCAAGGCTCTGGCCCAGTTCAGCTGCAGGAGAAGCCCTGAGAGATGGCCTTGGCATCTGCCTTTATTTGCTAAATGCCATCGCTCTCATGTTCTCAGCCTGTGGTTCCCAAAATCTGATGGGCAGACAGGTGGGTGGGGAGGACATGAGCCTGCCAGCATGGTCTTCCTAAATGCCTAGGGCTGGACAAGGCTCCAGGTGGTTGGAGGCTGTCGACAAGGGCTGGGGAGTTTTTCTGCCCTCTTGCTGCCTCAGCAAGACTATACCAGGCCCATCTTCTACTTCTCTCCCCTGAGCCATGGCCATGGCCCACGGAGGAACCCAGCAGTTCTCCTGTGAGCTGCTCTTCAGGCCAGGCATGTCTGCCCAAGCCCCTTTTCTCACCTGCTGGACCAGGACTGAGCATGAGCAGCACCTTCTTGGAGAAAGGTTTAAAGAATGCTGGGGGGTGGGGTGATTTCTGATGGGAAGGGATGGATGGTTTGGCCGGGTGGTTGTGATTGGTGTAGCAGGAGAGGCAGGGGGCATCTGGGTTCCCCGCCATCATGCACTGCCCCTTGGGAGGCTATAGCTCCCCACCAAGCCTCAGCACCCACCCCCACCCACCATTCACCCTGCCTGAGCTCTGCAGCCTGAGTGGGGCCCTTGAAGCAAGAAATTGGCAGCAGCCGAGCTGCCCCAGGTCCCAGGTCCCAGCCCCAGAGGGCACTGCCCCTGCCCCTTCCCTGGTGGTGCCTGTCCTCTCCCCATCTCAGAAATGCCCCTCTTGGGCGGTACACACACACAAGCACAGCATAACTGGGGCTGGTTTGGTTCATTTCAAATCCTCTTTATTTCAGAACAAGCATGCTTATATGTACAGGAGAGAGAACTAGGGAGCCAGCACACAGCACAGAGAGGAGAGCACATGCCCCAGTCTCACCACAGCCAGGAGGGGCCTCTGCCTTATCTACCCTGGTGATTCCTCCTCCTCTGCAGAGCCCTGCTCCAGGTTGCCCAGGCTCCAGAGGGTGACAAGGGAGCAAGTGGGGTCAGGGAGTTGGCCTCTCCCCAGGACCCTGATCTATAGGCAACTGGGTCCAGGATAGCACTAGGCCAGGCTGCCTCTCCCAGGAACTGAGGTTGGTGGGAAATTGACCAGTGGCACTTTCTGTTTCCCTTGGTTCTGGGGTGTTATGCTAGCAAACCCTGTCATGTCCTCTCTGACCTATGGCTAAGGCCCTGGGCAGGGAGGCAGAGGCTCAGGCTATTTGGGGGCTGGTGAGGGTTGCAGTGAGGTGGGGTGGAGTATACACAGAGCTGCATGGGGCTGGGCCTCAGCTGTCAGCTCTGGGGCAGGCAGAGCAGAGCGACTGCAGCTGACTATCAAGGAGCCCCCAGCACAGCTCTACATTCTCAAGCATCATCGTGGAGCTCACATGCCAGATCTGTGGGCAGGGGAGGGAGGTAAGGACGCCAGCCTGACTGGAGTGGGGGGAATCCCGATAGACTTAGCTTTTAACATTAAGGATTTGGGCAGAAAGGCCATGATGCCATTTGCGCAATTTGGCAAAACGTGGGCTGTTACGTTCCGTTTCAAACCTTTCCCTGTGGCACAGAGAGAGAGAGAGAGAGAGACAGAGTGACAGAGAGAAGAGAGGAAGAAAGAAAGGGGTTAGGGGATGCTGCCATTCCCCTGTTAGATAGCTGGGCAGAGGGCAGGGGAGGGAGAAATTTGGCCTGGAAAGGCTTGCCATCCATGGAGTATTGCCTAGGGGTTCAGGCCTAGTTTGGAGCAAGACCAGAGTCCCAAGGACCAGGATGGAGGAACTGGAGTCCCTGATTTTTGTGTGTGTTGGGGGGGATAGAAAAGGGGCCTGGCTAGTGGGCCTGAGGGCTGGTTGGGCAAAGAGGGGGTCTCTGGGTTCTCCCTGTCCTCTATGGTTAGGGATGGGCAGGGCTGCTTTGGCTGTGGGCTCTCAGGACTGAACCAAATGGGCAGGTGGGTCTAGCATGGTCTCTGTCCCCAAGCTGGGCATCAAGACGGAGGAATGCCTGTTCCTGTGATGAGGCTTTGGTGAGCAAACCTGCCACCTCCCTGTGCTGCCCTGGCCTCTGCCAAGCCTTCTCTGTTCCCAGAGAGTAGCCTTCAAATACCGCCAAGTGCCCAGCCCACCAAGCACAGCCAGGCACGCACGTGCACACACACACCCATGGGGCCACCAGCACACATACAGAGTGCCAGGACCACCCGCCACTTCCTACCAGCAGGACCTCTGGGTCTGAGCCCACAGCTTGCTGAGCCGAGGGCATAGGACAAAGCAGACAAGGAATAGCCAGAAACAGAAATGGAAGAGAGGGTGTGCCTGAGACAGACCAGTGCCACAGATGCCAAAATCCTAGACCCTCCAAGATGCAGGGGCCTCTAATATCCTCCAGACCAGAGGGGCAACTTGGTGGCCCAGAGGCCATATCTAGGCACAAATATGGTTTGTTTAACCTGGACTGTTTAAAAATTCCTTTCAAAAATTAATTGCTACATCCAGACCACAGACTACTACTCAGCAATAAAAAGAACGAACCACTGGTACGCTCAACAACTGGGATGAGTCCCCAGAGAATTAGGCTGACTGAGAAAGGCCAGTCCCACAAGGTCACAGGCTGTCTGGTCCCATTCAGACAACATTCTTGAAATGACAGAATTATGGAACTGGAGAGCAGATAACAGATGAGCGGTCATCACAGGTTAAGGAGAGGGTATGAGCAGCAGGGAGATGGGTGTGGCTTTAAAGGGCAATAAGGGAAACCTGGAGATGAAGGAATATTCTGTATTTGTATCAGTGTCAACATCCTGGTTGTGATATTGTACTGTAGTTTGGTAAAACATTACTATTGAGGGGTAAAGGGTATATAGGATCTCTCTATGTTATTTCTTACAGCTGCATGCCAACCTTCAATCCCCTCAAAATAAATACTTCAATAAATGAATTGCCAGCATGTAAAAATCAGGAAGATCAGATTGAAGTCTTTGAAAATCACAGGAGGGACAGTGCTGGTCTTACATTTCTGCGTGGCAACAGTCCCATGTCCCCACATTCACACCCAGCCACCTTCCCACATCAGCATTACCTGTAGATGCCCCGGTACACCTTGAGTCCTGCTTATTAGGTCTGTGTAAGATTCTGTTTGACAAAAGGGGCCCACTGCTGCTAACACATCTGAAAACCACTTGTTGAGTCCAAACTTTCCTAATAGCAAGAGGAAGCCAAGGCCCAGAGACATCATGTGAACAACCTAAAGCCACGTGGGAACTCAGCAGCAGAACCATGATCTGCTACCTACCTCTCTGAGGCTGGGGAGAAGGGGCTGAGACAGCTAGGACAGAGGCACGGTGGCAGGGTCCACACAGCCCTGCCGACAGCACCATGGGCAGCACCCACTGACCACCCCACAGAGACCACCCAGGATACAGATGGCCAGTGTGTCCAGCAAGTCCAACAGTCATCAGTGTTCAGTGACAGGGTCACAGGGATGGTTCTGGAGTGCTGGAGACTAGAGAAACAGCTCTGCTTGCAGCTGTTTGGAAATTCAGTTAGCCAAAGAGAGGAGCAAGGAGGGGAAGGAAGAAGAGAGAGGGGCAGAAGAGAAAGGAAAGGAGGTCCTGGGCCACGAGGGCTGCTCAGAGACACCAGGGCATCCTGGCCTCTCCAGTTGTAGTTTTTAAACTGGCAGAACACCAAGGATGAAAAATCCACAAAATGCAGGTAACTTTTATTACTGACAGCTGTCCACTGCCTCCTTATGAGAAAGGGCCCTGAGCCATGCTGGCACCGTGAGAGACAGCCAAGCAAGCTGCAACAGAGCTGGACATGCCCAGGGTATCTGCAAGGGGGAGCAGGGAGGAACTAGCGAGTCCCCGTGCTCTGTTGGAGGCAGGGGTGAGGAGAGGAAGAAAACCTTGGCTGGCTGTACAATGGAGAAGCAACTTTGGCCCTCTACCAAATTTTGGGTAAAGACTAGATGGCTTACTGGACTATTTGTGGGCTGGCTTCAAAGAGGGGGGTAGGACAAACTTGAAAATGGCATATAGGAGCAATAGAGCACAGGAGCAGGGGGAGTTGACGGTTCAGTCACACTTAAAATAGCCAGATACTAACTTTTGAGCTAAATCACTCACCATCTCAGTTCAAGCTCCTAACAGACACATTACAGGTACAATGTGTTAAGAAAATATTTCTTAACACAAAGGTTCAGAACCGTTTCTGGAACTGCAAGCCATCATTAGCAGGCCAGGAAAGACCACACTTTAGGTTTCAACGTCCCAGCCAAAAAGTGGGAGCATCTGGGATTGGCAAAAATGTAGGTTCAAAATGAAATCCACATAAAATCTGAGCTGTCCCCAGAGCCCCACTCTCCATACAGTCTTGTAGCTGCTGTGCACTGGTCAGCAAGGACAGAAAGCCAGCCCAGGGTGTAAAAGCACCTCTGAGCCCCAGCTCCTTACACAGAGGCCACCACAAGATGCGCTACCCCAAGCTAGACTCTCCCAGGAAGAGCATGCAGATGACACATTTTACCGCCGGAAGTGTAACGATCCCACTGGGCCCCACACCTCACCATGGAGGGCCCTAGTGGGTTCCAGTGGGTTCCAGGGCAATGCACCCTCCTCATGCCCAGGTCCATGAGCACCTGACAGGCTGCAGGTGGTAGGTTAGTGGCTGTGGCTTCATGCCTACAACTGTCAGGGAGACTGTACACTGAGACCTAGCCCTGCACGAGCCCCTCCTCTGCCCAGGGCTTGTCCTTCCTTTCAGCAGCTGCTGTGCTTCTAGGGATTAATGGAACTAGTACCTCAATGTAAGTCTGGAGAGCTAAGTCCAGGGGTCAGGGGCCATGCCCAGCATAGCCCTCTGCATGCCTGCTTCCCAGTGCCCAGGCTCCAGACTCACAGGGGACAGGCCTAGAGACACACATGCAGGCAGGGCAGCTGGCCCAGTGCCCTCACAGGCAGAGATGCCCGCATTCTTAACAGCCCAGCAAAGGCCAAAGCAGCCCTGCCCCCTGCCCAGGGACAGAGCTAGGAGAGCCCAGATTCCTCACTCCTGCAGCCTGGGTCCAGAGGATAGAGACTCAGCTCCAGGCACCCGCCTCACTGACCTGGGATGAAGGCCCCAAACCAGCATCAGCTGGAGCCCTTCAGGGGCCAGGAATTTCCAAATACATGAATTTGAGAGGTTTCTTCCATGAGTCATGGGACCTGGGGGCTGCCAGGGAGGGATGGGGTTAGGAGGGGCAAGGCTGTGGAGCCCAAGTCCAGGTGCTTACCTTGACCTTCGCAAAGCTTCTTCGTCAGGGTCTTGCACTGTGGGTAGAAAGTTGCTGGTCAGGAGGAATCACAGGGAGCATAAGGAAGAAAAGCCACTGGAGCTCTAGGCATTGAGTCCCACAGATAGAACGGTTACTGCCCCCCAGCCAGTGGCAGGGAAAGGCTGTGTGCCGGGCAGAGGGCATGGGGAAAAAGTGGACATGAGAGGATGAGAGGAAATGGTGCAGTTGGGAGGGAGTGGTCAGAGGTGTGGCCTGCGGGGGTGCGGGGGTCCTCTCATCCCAGCTCTGGCATCATTTTGCCTGCAGGGAGCATGGCAAGCCTGCTGCCCACCGTGGAGTCAGGTAACAGAGCAGAAAGCTGGTGTCATCTGCATCAAGGTCAGCTCATCTTCAAAGGGGATGGGGCTTAACTCCCTGGCTTCTGTGGGCCTTAGGTGGAGTAGGGCCCTCTGGCCTTTCCGCATCTCCAATTCCCAGACCTCCCCCAGCCCTCACTTACTGTATTCTGTCCCCGTCATCTGGGCCAGTATGCGGAAGGAGCGGGACTGCAGGTTGGAGGAGCGGCGGGCCCACTCATCAGCCTCGTCTTCAGGCTTGTTCTGGTTCTTGATCACAGCCTGATATACGGGAGAGGCACTGTCCACAGTGAGATCTTTAACAGGAAGGCTCCTACAATGCAGAAGGAGGCTGTGGGCGAGCGCCAGGCTGGAACCAGCTCCTGTCCTCCCCACTCCCCCCGCGACCCATCCCCCTTGCACCCCCACACCCTGAACGCCCGTTGTTGGCCCCACTTGTCTGAACCCACCATGTCCTTTGCCCACTGCCATCTGACAGCCTGGGACAATGCCTAGGTGCTCAGTGCTCAGGGTGGTCATGGAGGGTCAGGAGGCTCAGATGCCTCCTGCCAACCCTGCCCCCAATGCTAACTCCAGGTACAGGCCGAAGACACCCTACCCCCCAACCCCTCTTTCAAGGAGGAGGTAACAAAGGTCTTCTTGAAGTGATTTCAACCTCTCTGAGCAGGCCCTGGGTTTGGTGCTGGGTGAGGACCGTTCGTTCAGAGGACTCAGAGATTTCCTTAGGGCCAGTCCCATGTCCTTGTCTCCCCTTTGGGTCCAAACAGGGAACCACTGACACCATGACTTCCCTGGAGAGGACTGGGAGCCCCCACTCAGCCAAACCAGGGAGCTCGGTAGGGAGGTGGTATAAGAAACAAGGCACCCAGGCCTGTGTGGCCCCACATTGCCAGCAGACTGTGGGATTTCTGCCTGGGGGAGCTGGCAGTGAAGGAGGGTCACTAGTCCTCTGCCCCAGGACAGCCTTTAAGGGGGGCCTGGTGACCTTCCCTTAGACTCCCAGGGTTTGGCACACAGTAGGTACTCAAAACCTAGTTGATTGAACAAATCCGAGATGAGAGACAAAATGAGCCCCAGAGCCCTTGGGTCCAGGGCCTCCCAGCCCAGGTCAGATACACAGGGCAGGATATGTCAAAAGCTTTACGGGTGCCCACTCACCCCAGCCAGCAAGGGCTGGAGGATCCAGGCCACAAAGCCCACCCCCTCCAGAGTCAGGGTAGACTGAAGTGGAGCTCACAGCAATAACAGCATGTCTCCCCAGCCTATGGCCCAGAGGCCCAGCCCTTTTCTCTTACAGGTGCTGAAGCTGAGGCCCAGTGAGGACAGTCCTCTGGCTCTAGGTTACAGTACATAGGGGCCCCACTGAGTCAGAACCCAAGCTTCCCAACTCCTACCTCAGTGTCCTTTCCATCAGATCCTCTGTAGTGACAAAGGCTCGGGAAGGCCACTTTTGCCCACTGGGGCCGTACATACCCCAAATGCTCACACCTGGAGACAGAGCCTAGCCCAGATACTCATCCTACCCAGCCTCCCCTGGCCTGTGGCCATGGCTGCCTCTACCTGCCTCCCAGTGGCCATGTCTTCTACCCTCTCTGGAAGGAGCTGGATGGAAGCATTGGCCTACACTCTCAAGATTGGTAGTCTCTCAAGTTTGGTCCCCAGTGTCTGGCTCAGGGTGGACCACAAGAGCAGAGGTGGAGAAAAGTGTTGAAGGATGACCAAGGCCAGGCAGAGTGGCCCCAAATTCCCTGAGGGCTCTACCCAGGCCCAGAGAGCTACAGTCACTGGCAGACTGCCTTTGGGATCAAATGGAGAAGGCTACAGAGCCCTCTAAGTCCAGGCAGGAAGGATCCTGGGCTGTCTAGGGAGCAGAGCACAGACTGGGATCTCACTGGGAAGGCCATTTCTGGCATAGGAAGGGGTCCCAAGGATTCCCAAGGCAGAGACTCAGCCTGCTGTCTTTGGGTGAGATGAGCAATCAAACGGCACAACCAGGACTCCCGGGTCTGCTAGGAGGAGAGGGAAGCAGGAGGTGTGGATTGTGCCATGGAAAGTGGAGGTGTAAACCCAAGCCCAGGCCCTGCCCTTGAGCCTGCCTACATGGAGCTTTGGGGTCAAGAAAGCAAATGGAAGGTGTTCGCTGCCATTTCCCTGGAACATGCCCTTGAGGTGATGCCCTGTTCCTCTGCAGCTCCAAGGGCTCAACAAAGCTTCCAGAAGTCCCTTGGGATTCATACTGTTGGCTTCACTTCCCACAATATCGTGCAAAGACAAGGGACGTGGAGACTGGGAGTCAGATGCAGGAAATGTGCTTTTGGAGATTCTGGGGCTCAGGGAGAATATACACATACAGAGAGGATGGAACAGACCATGCAGTCCTGAGACCCTGGGTCCGAGGCTGCCCTCTGGAGCCACCCCCAGCATGGTCTTCTTGCCACCAAAAACACTCCAGTCACTGTAGCCTCAAGGTACCTCTGGGCACTGACTCCACTCCCCACTTCCCCCCATCAGACTCATCTTTTGCCTCCCATGAGTGATCCTGGCAGGTGCCAGCTCCTCCAGATCCATCTCCCATGAGGCTCCTGGGGAGGGGCCTCCAAGATGTCCCCTTATCACCCACTCCCCTAAATAATGGCTTAGTGTGGATTCTGACATTCAGGTCTAAAGTGTCCCATTGCAGACAGGACAGCTCAGGGGGTGGAGGGGAGCACCCGCAAAGCACAGCAAGGAGAACACAGGCATGCAGGTCCAGCCAGGTGGGGCAGTGTGATGTCGCCGCTTTGACTTCTGTGCCATAGTGACATTATTTGGGGCAAACCTCAAAAGACAAGTACTTCCCTGTGTAGGATGCTCAGCATGTCATTTGTCTGTGAGGTGGGTGTGAAGAAGAAGGTGGACAGAGCCACCATCCTCAGACACATCCCACCACACCCACACATCCTCCCGCAACAAGACAGACCGAGGACGGAACAGACACTATGAGGTCTACTTACGCCAGTGGCGACGCCCTGCCAAGCGGAAGAAAGCTCAGCAGTAAGTTTGTGTCCATCATGGGATGGTAGAGGGGCCACGCACACACAGGGGAGCAGGGTTAGGACCAGAAATGAGTTATGGGAGTTGGGTGAATAAAGGAGGAAGAGAGAGACAAAAAGAAAACTGTCAGTGAGAAAGGAATCATGGACATTAACAGCAGAAATGGAGCACCTCATGGCAGGGAGGGGCCACTCTTACCCACAGGCACCATGGCAGTATCAGCCCAGCAGGGCTAAGTTAGAAGGAAGGGGAAAGCATGTTGCTTCCCAGGTAACAAGGGATGGGAGTGAGAGGGGAGGGGATGGGGAGTAGGGAGGAAAGGACCTCTGAGAATCCTAAATTGGACCAATGGTGCATCACATTAAAAAATAATCATGGGTACCCTAGTGGTAAAACCAAATGATAGCAATCTTTCCCAAGGTGCAGAAAATACAAAGTTAGTGAGGAGCAGTTCTTCATTATTCCCAATGAACTCTTCGGCGACCACCACTCTTAAGAGTACCGCAAGGACACACGCGGCAAACAAATGTTAACAGGAAATCCCTGTTAGTTTTTTGGCTTTATCAGGCAGTCTTGTTTTTCTGGGTACACATGAGCTAATGGCTGTGTTTTTAAACTTGCATCGTCATAGTTGCTGCTCTAAATAATGGGATTAAATAAATCAACACTGCCCAGAGTTCCGCAGAGCAGCAGCCATGAGCCTAGAAGGTTTGGGACTCACAGCTCCAGGGCGAGCAAACTCTGCCCCCTGGTGGTCTACAGGAAGTACTGTGTGCCTGAGAGGCCGGCTCCCAACCACCGGAGTCAGGACGTCTGTACAGCATTCCATCGTTTGGCCTCCGGAGCCTACCCCTTATAACTTGCATGAATGTCATGGCAACAAGGGCCAAGTTCTACAAAGGCCGAAAACGATAGGGATTTTCTGGGACTTTTTTACGCCTCTATTGCTCTTACAACGTCTGTTTTTGCTAGCTTCAGAAAAAAGTGCAACCATCATTTTAAGATTTCTTGCTGAGTTTCCCAGGCATCTGGACTCAAGGATATAATGTTGCCCAACGAGATAATCAGTCAGTTCTGAACATTAACACTAATGGTATTCTCAAGTAGAAAACAGGAAGAGATTGTAATTGTGAGTGTGTGTGAAAAAGAAGACAGAGAAAGACACAGACAGAAAGAGACATAGAGATTCAAAGATATGGAGAGAGATTGAGAGACAGAGACGGAGAGGAAGAGAGGTCCCCATTAATTTGCGCCATTAGCAGTTTCATCCAAAAAGGATTTTCAGCCAGCTCTTTCCCTATGCAATACTCAAGTTCCTCAACCATTGCAAACAGGCAAATTCCAGGAATCAAGGATGTCCTAAATCCCACTGCCCTGAGGCTGGGCTTCTCTGGGCAAACAGGAGGAGGAGACACCCAGTCCTGGGTGCTCCCCAGGCTCTGCAGAGGGGCTGACTGCCAACAGCACCTTGGATGGTTGATCCTGAGGCCCCTTCCCAAACAAGAAACCCAGTCACATATTGAAATTGCTCTCATTGATGGAAGAATGCAGCAACTTCCCCCTCACCCCACCCCAAAGAATGGCTTAATTGTGAGAATGTGACCCTCATAGGATTCCAGAAGTCTCTTTCTACACCAGCCCCCTCATGGAACCAGGAAAACGCAGAGGCTGTGAAAAGCTCTTGGAGGAACCACCATATTCTGCAGTTCTCCACCCTTCTCCTAAAGCTGACCATGAGATTGATTCTGCAGACAGAACATGAGGTTCTGCAAGGCCCTGGCAAAGGTTGACTGTGCCTCAGGAGGACCAAGGCAAGGAAGGAGAGCTGGTCCGGATGCCTAGTCTTCTATGGTGCCCAGCAGCCTGGCGCCCTGGGCCTCCGCAGGTGATGAGGCCCGGCTTGTGGTGGGGCTGGTGGGCGATGAATGACGCTGAGTGGAGGAGGGGGCGCTTACCCACTGAAGTCACTGCCCTGGGCCTGGGCCTGCCCGGCGATGGCATCCATGATGGCATCCTGGGAGTACATGCTGATGGGCGTGTTGTACTGCGCATGGATGATGGTGGCCTTGCCGCCCAGCCCCTTCACCTCGATGGGCTTGTGGGTGGATAGGGCTGAGTCTTTCAGGGCGCTGGGGTTGAAACGTTCCTGGTAGTCGGCGCTAGGGTTGGGGTGTGGAGCATGGGGAGCAGACGGGAGTGGGGGAGGCAGGCAGAAGGAGAAAAGGGCGACAGGTGGCATTACATGGAAGGTCAGTGTGAGGGCTGGTGGTGCAGAGATCTCCCAAGGCCTGACCCCAGGTTCGCTGCCCAAGTCCCGGCCCGTGGACGGCTGAGTGTCGTCAGGAAAACCCTCAGTACCGCACCCAAAGCCTTTGGCAGGTTTTTCTTGTCCATTTGGCTTTCCCAGATCCCTGGAGGCCCCGGCTCGGCCTGCGCTACCTCCCAGGGTCAGCAGGGGACGCCAGGCATTGAGAGCTCTCACCACCTCCGCAGGGGAGCAGGGACAAAGAGGACTGGAGAGGGGGTTGGGAGGGGACAGGAGCTGGGGCCACACGTGAGAGGCAGCGGCAGCCCAAGCGAGGTCCAGAACACTCCAAAGGCGAAAAGCAGCCCCGCTGGGCACCCACGCGGATTCTCAACAAGGTTCCTCTGCAAAGCGGCTCGTCCTGCTGGCCGCCCCCTCGGCGGCCCCAGGCTCTGCTCCAGGCGCTTCAGTGCGTGTGTTTCTTCCTCGGAGCAGAGTTCAGTCCCCTTGAAGTCCAACTGCTGTGTGGACCCCGGTCTCAACCCATCGGGGCTTTTGCCTCCGATGTGCACCCCAAGCAAAGACAAGGTCAGATGCAGCTCTTCTGAGGGGTCCCGCAGGGCCGGAAATGACTTCAGGTTCACACAGGACCCCGCGGCAGCACGGCGCTCCACCCACCGCCCACTGGAGCCAGCCTGCGGGTCTGAAGCAGCTGCAGTAGGCACGGAAGGCGGAAAGCCGGGCGCAGAAGACAGAACCCTGGCACCCCTCCCCGACGCCTCCACTCCATACTCACAGCTGCACACACATGGATGCTCCCTCGGGGACTCAAATGCTCCTCCACTCACGCATGCATACACTTGTACACATGCTGACACGGGCACACGCTGTCCAGACGGACACACAGACACATGCTGGGGTATGCACGCAAGCGCACACACATGCTTTCCTTGGATACTAACTTGGCTGGAGAGTTGGCTACCACCTGGGGAGGAAAGAAAGAGCAAAGAAGACAAGGCAATCAGAGTGAGGATCCTGCCAGGGGCTTTGAACTGGGGATCCTCAGATTGGCCATGGTGGTGGTGGAGCCTGGGCCTGGCACTGGGGGAGGAGGGGAGCAGGGAGGAAGGAAAGAGAGAGCTCAGAGTAGGGGTTAGGCCTCTTGGTTTGGGTCAGAGATGCTGACAGCAGGGGTTCCCTTTGGTAGGTCCACAGTACCCGAAGCCTTGCCAGGGGGAAAGATTTTCTTGTCATCTTCATGGGTACTCATGCACCCTGTACAACCTGGCTGTAGACCCCAGGAGAGGAATCTGGAGATGGAGACAGGACCAGCTGTGGCTGCTACTAGAAGGGTGAAGACCCAGGTGCCTCCTGGCAAGACAGCAGCTCTGGATTTACCCTTGTTTAATGGGAGCAGTTCTAGGACTTCTGCTCCCTGAGCAAGAGTTGCAGTGGTGTTGGGTTGTGCGTGCTGCAGGGCATGCTCTCTTTCCCAGAGAAGGGCCAGAAGCAGCCCTGGCCACTCCTCCTGGAGCATGGGGTAGGGGGCATCTGTGCAGTCCCCAGTGACTGCCCTGAAGGCCCTCTGGTTGGGCAATGAGGTAGGGTGGATGAGGTGAGGCTTGGAGAAGTGTGGGTCCAAGGCTTCTTGCAGGAAAGCCCTCAACCAAGGCAGCCCAGCCTAGACACTACGAGAAGACCCTACCCTCACTCTTTTCTAAAGGAGGGATTGCCTGCCTTAAGTCTTTTTAAATGCAAATTTCCTGTAGGCAGACCATGGTAGCACCAGGGGCCCCATCTGAAGCCTGAAGGAGAAGAGCACAGGAGGTCCCGTCCCTGCCCTCCAACTCTGCCACCTTGCCAGGTCTGAGACTCTGGGATCTGGCTGGGAGAGTGTGGGACCCAGCTAGCCTGGCCATGGTCATCCCTTGGCCCAAACCCTGGGGAGCTAGGCCAAAGCCAGGGAACCCCTAGCTCCAGGCCCAACACTGTGTCAGAGCTGATAAAATTCCTTCTGTCCTCCCAGGTTCAAAATAGCTGCAAGGGGAGCTATATTAGGAAAGAGCCAGCACAGATCTTCCACCACTTCTACATTTTTGGCCAGTGCTAACAGCAGCAGGGTCAGCTCTTGTGCTGCCAGCCCAGTGGCCCCCTGCAGAGCAGAGGGCAATGCTGGCCTCAGGGGCTGCCTCTACACTTCCCTGCCCAGGCAGCCAGCTCCTTCTTTAGCATTGTTTCCTGCCCCTTGCGTTGCTTCCACCTGAGGACCTGGAGGCTGGGATGCCTGCAGCAGAGAGCTCAGAGAGGGCCCAGCATAAGGGGATAATGAACCAAAGACCATTAGAAGACCTGCCGGGGCCTTTGCACCTGTGACTGAAGGACTAGGTCCTGAGGACAGTGCCAGCTCCTGAGGATAATATGGAGGCTGCAACAATGGTCATGCCTAACTGTCCTCACACTGCATCTGTACCTTTGCATGCCTCCCAAGAAGATACAGCTGCCAAAGAACCACATTGCTAGCTCTCCAGAGAGAGCATAGAGGAAGGCTTCCTTTTGGAGCCAGACAGGGCAGAGTTCAAATCCTGACCCTGTTTCTTCTAGTGCTGTGACTTTCTGCAAATTATCCACCTGTCTCAGCCTCAGTCTCCTCATTCAGAAAATCAAGGTGGCAGTGCCCACTGCACAGACAGGCTGTGCAGACTAAGCAGAATCCTGAATGGAAAGCCCTCGGCATGGGTTAAGTGTACAATGGATGGATACAGGGATTAACATTTGCCAGCCCTATTGCCTGTGAGCTGTGAACTTAGTGTAGCTGGTGGTCTCGGCCCAATAGAGGCTACCCTTCCTGCTGTCATTGCCAGGACTACAGCATCAGCTTTCACTTTGGATAAAGTGCTCAACTGTACTCTCTGCCCTAGACCCTAACTTCCCTTGGAGGAAATGGTTGGACCCTGCTGCTCTGAGCATCAGGTAATAATTTAACGCCTGTCAGGTTCTGAGAAGCCCCTGTGCCAACAGGAGGGCACCATGAGATGCCTGTCTCCATGCAAGTGGGAGTCAGGCTGACTGGGTGCCAGTTCTGTCTGCCACTTCTCAGTTGTGTGGCCTTGGGCAAATTACTAACTCTCCCTGGACTTCTATGTCCCAATTGTAAAATGGAGGAAATGCTGGCTACCTTGAAAGTTGCTGAAGAGTTATGTTAGAGAAAGAATACAGACTGTTAGCCAGCTCCCAGCCTAGCATGAGGGCTCAGGAAGGGGAGGCATTACTGTCACTTCAGGTGGGTTTCATGGAGGTCCCAGTCCTCCAGAGGCTGACCTGCCCTCAGGGGCCAGTACCAGAGAGGACCAGGAAGAGCCACCAGCCTGTCCAAGGCAGGAGCAAGATGCCATTTCTACTCTGCCATTCCTTGAGTTTTCTGGCATAAGCTGCTTGGTGGGAAACACCTTGGTCCAGAGAAGCCAGGGACCAGGAGCTCAGACCATGAAGGGCCCAAGGCCAGCTTCACTCAGGATCCCAGACAGAGCTGGAGGATCTGGAGCAGCCAGGGGTCCCCAGTGGGGCAGTGAGCTGGTAGGGCACAAGGGCAGAAGGAGGGCATCAGCATGGGCCAGACTGACCCCAGTTGCAATCAAATTCTGTCTCATGCATGCACCGGCTGTGTGACTCCAGGCAATGGTGACAAGTAGCATGCAGTGAGTGTGCCAAAACAGAGCTCAGTGCTGTGCATGTGTTGTCCCAGTCAGTCCTCCCAGTGATCTCTCATGTATGCCTACAAAGGAGAAGCCCTGAACCCCTAACCACTGGACCATATTGCCTTGCCCCAGCCTGCTCTGCCTGTAGCACACAGCAGTAATTACGTTGACTGCTTGGGGCCATGGGAGTGGTTAAAATGAGAACAGTGTGAAGGGCTTGGAAGCTAATACATAGGGGCTCGGCTTGGGGACTCCCTCCCCACAGCCTCTCCAGGACCTCCACTCTAGCTTTAACTTCTGTGCTCACAGAGTCCCAGCAGCTAGACCTCAAGGGGTGGGCAGTGGGCTGCTGTTCTCCTGCACAGCCCCTTTCTCCCTGGAGTCCTGCTTTCTTGCTGCCCCACCCTAATAACCAGGGTCAGTCCTGCAAGCCCACTCCTTTCACACCATTGCTGATTCTGCACCCAGCTCAGGTGCTCCCTCTCCAGGTAGCCTTCCTAGATTACTCCCAACCATAGAGAACTTGCCTCCCACATCTCTAGTTCTTCCCTGATCCTACCTCAGGGCTTCCAGAGGGGTGGGAATCAGCTCCTTGCCCCAGAGTTCCTAGAGGCAGCAGGCTTTGTCCTTATGGGTGGCCTGGTATGTTCATACCAGGGAGCCAGAGTCTTTTGCATTCAGGACCCCCTAGGCTACTTAGTAGCTAGACAGCTGGACCTCAACCTTCTCTGATCCTCAGTTTCCTCCTCTGCAAAATCTGACATGTCACCCTAGGTTGTGTAAAGTGCCTGGCTCATGCCAAATGCCAACAGGATCATGTTCATTGCTCTCAGCCTGCACTGCCTTATGGGCTTGGGGCTGGCCAAGCTCTGACCATCTGACCAGGGCTCTATGAGCACTGAGGACCCAGGTGACCCCAGACCCCCAGTGGAGAGCTGTATGCCCATTACCTACCCTCCTGGGAGTCCAGCACCTGAGGCTTTCCCTCGGAGGCTCATGTGATACATCTGAGCCATCTCCCTCAGGGTCTCTGCCGAGTACAGGCCAATGGGGTTGTTATACTGCCTTGGCTGGCTTGAGCCCAGCCAGACTTTTGGGCTGAGTGAGTCCAGGGCCCTCTCCGGACTGGTCTTGGCCCCCAGGCTGCTCTGTGGAGGACCGGGCTCAGAAGCCTCTGTATGTGAGGAGAAGATGGAGGTCTGGGAGAAGGAGCTAAAGGTCTGCCTGCGCTCCGGGGTGCCTGCGGAGCCCGGGCTGGCCCTCGCCTCAGGGTTGGGGCTGGGTGCCACCAGGCTGTCGTTCATGTCCAGAGCAGAGTCCTGGCACAAGACAGCACCATACAGGGGAGAGAGAAGAGAGTAGTTAGAGGCCGCACACATTCCAGCGCTTCTGCATGGACCTGAAACAGAGGTGTTAGTAGCCTGCAGCCCTTGCACAGAGCTCAGGAGGGGACAGACTGGACACCTGCAAGAGAAGGGTTTGGTCAAGAAGAATGAGGTAAGGGGGAGGGAGGCACGTGGCTAATGGCCCTGAGGCTGGCATCCACCTGGACAAAATCCAAAGCCCCCCACACAAAGCCAAGCTAACCAGCCTACCTGCAGGGCTGGAGGAAAGGGGGGTAGTTTTCAGGGAGTTGGGGAGAACCCCCTCTATCCTATATCTGTTCCACTTTCCCTGAGTGGGGACACCTGCTGGGCATAGCCCAGTCTCCTGGTCTACTGACCCCACACTGAGATGCCCCCACATGGCCAGTGAGTGGGGCTGGCGGTGGACAGGCAGAGTGGATGAGCAGGAGGGGAAACTGAGGAAGGGGGGCTGGCATTTGGTTCCCTCAGTCTACCTCTGCAGCTTCTCCCAAGCAGCCCTCTCCTCTGCCTACCTTCCCAGTCTGCCACCCACTGCAACTTCCCATCAACCTCTTTCTGTCCCCTCTCCCACCCTGTCTTACTCTTTCCCTCTGGACACACAGGGGTCAGTAAGAGGTCATGCAGGTCTTACTACACTGATGGACAGTGATTGTAGTGGGGTGTGGATGGACTTGATAATATGAGTGAATTTAAACTACAATGTTGCTCATGTGAAACCTTCATAAGATTGTATATCAGTGATACCTTAAGTAGTTGGTTCCTGTCAGCCCAGCCTCAAGGCCCAGGGTGGTGGCTAGCACCCAGGCGGGCACCCCCATGTTCAGTATTTCATAGGGGCTCCAGTGCATCTATGAGGCCTGCCCCATCTTCTTGGAGTCAGCCACAGCTGGGGCACGGTGGGACAGTCTGATACCCCAACTCATCCCAGCTGGGCCAGCCAGGGGTCAAGCAGGCAGACCAGGGTCTATACTCCAGGAACCACAGCAGAGAGTAGAACCCCTCTGCCACTAGTCAGCACCTACCTTCTGGTGGGGGATCACCGGCAGTGGGGACTGGATCGGGGGTGCTGCCGTGGAAATGGGAATGGGACGCTTCGACCTGGAGAAACCAGAAATGGGACCCAATGAAGACAGTCCTTCCAGGGCCAGGATCTCCTGCCTGGGTAGGACTGGTAAGGGAGAGCAATGGAAGGCCAGGAACCAGGCCAGAGGGCCTGAGGCCCGCTGTCTGCCCCACAGACTGGTGTCCCCAGGAAGGCACTGGGCCTGACCAGGATGGAGAAGTCATGCCCCTTGAGCACTTTGCACCCAGGGGCCTCTGCTAAGTGCTTTGGGAGATGCCTGAGCAAAGAGGAAGCAAGGAAGACCTTGGCTTCCAGGCCTGACTGTGCACATATGGGCAGCACAGTGACCCACCTTCTCTGAGCCTCATCTGTAAAGTGAGACACAGACACAGCAAATCCAGAGGCCATCCTTACTTCCCTGTGCAGTCCTGTAGCATAGGGCTGGGCCCAGGAGGCTGCTGCTGGCCAGCCCCTCTCTCAGACCCCTGACACCACACCCCAGCCTTCCCCCGTGCTCCGGAGAGCTCCCACCTACTTCTGCAGTGTGAGACTCAGGTTGTAGCTGGCAGACTTGATCTTGTTTTGGGCCTCCAGGTGGGTCATGGTGTCTGTGTTGACGCCGTCAATGGCCACCACAAGGTCGCCCTGGCTGAGCTGGGACTGGGCAGCCTTGCTGCCGGGCGTGATCTGAGGGTGGCAGATTGGGAGAGGAGGCACATCAGGAGGGTGGACCCGAGCATGGGCTAGTCCTCAGAGAAGTCATTATCCAGCAGAGGCCTGCCAGTTTGTCTTCATTCATTCACTATGGTCAGTCCCTGCTGCTCACCAAGCCTGATTCCTCTTCTTGGTGCACAGCCACCACAGTTCCTACTGCTTTGTATCTGAATGTGGCATTGAGACCAGCTCTGGCTGGTGGAATGAGGGGGCAAGCAATGTGTGCCACTTTGGGGCCTACCCCTAACAATCATCCTTCCCATCTTGCACCCTCTCTGCTCATCAGCAGAACAGACGCAAAAGACCCAGAGGAGGACAGCCAAGCCACTAACTGGAAGGGACCCAGATCCTGGAATCACTGCTTGGGGAAGAGATGACTAAGGAGCACTGCATCAGATGTTCATGAGTGAGAAATAAACTTCCTCATAAGCCATTGAGATTTGGGGCTATTTGTTACACTAGTTAGCCTGCTATAACACCTGTACCCCCCAAAATCCCTGGAGCATTTTCCAGGCTCCAGGAGGGAGGGCACATGCAGGAGCTAAGTCTCAGCACTGCTACAGAGACACTGCCAGGCCAGCAGGTGGGGCACACTCACAAAAGTATCCTAGTGCAAGTGCCTGGTGCTACCACAGCAGGTGTGTAAAGGACCAGGGGAGCTGTCAACCCTGCCTGGGGGAGCAAAGTTGGCTGGGACGTGCAGCAGGACTCAACACTCTGTGGTTGGTTTCATACTTCCAGAAGGAGAGGTGCAGGCATAGGGGCCAGTTTCCAAATCCTGCTCCCAATGACATCACACAATGTTAGAGTCTGGGGGCCCCACCCCCAATGTGATCATGCAGAATGCCATGGATGCTCCGGAATGCCATGGAATCCATGCGATGTCAGGAAGGCCACACTCCCAGGAACATTACTTGGGATGTCATAATGGTCCAGACTCCACTCCCAGTGATGTTATGTACAATGCCAAATTCTGGGCACCTGGCCCCCAGTAATAGAATATTGAATGCCTTCATGGCACCCCCCCCCTGCAGTGATAGCAAATGAAATACAAAATTTTGAAGGGCTTAGTGATATCACCTAAAATAATTTGATTTTAGGCTGGCCCCTAGTGATATTACATGGAATGTGATGAGACCCCACCCCTAAGGATGTCTCATGGGCTGTCAGGGAGACTCTGTCTCCACCCCTCCGGAGGACTTCACAGGGAGTACCATGGAAGCCCCACCCCCAGTGACATCATAGGAAAGAAGAGCCTCTGGGCACCATCCCCACCAAACTGTGACTGGAGTGTCCATTGGCTTTCCCTCCCCCACATGCCCATCCTGGCTTCTGTGGGCTCATCCCAGTCACCTTCCTGGCTATACCCCCAGGGACAAGGCTGGCTTCTAACACTGGCAAAAGCCATTTTCTGGCCAACGCCTGGGGACAGACCATCCTAGAAGGAGCCCAGAGAGGACTTGGAGATAGTCCCATACCCTGGGTACCAGGCCTAGGTGGGCCTCTGGCCAGGCCCTGGACTCGCAGACATGGATGGGAGCCTCCTGCCAGGCCCCTCACAGGGAATTCCCATCCAAACCAGGGCCCCCTGCAGTTGCCAGCTCCAGCCCATTCCTGGGTGGGCTCTACAGTGTGGGCTGGAGACTGTATGTGCATGTGATGATAGCAAGACCAGGAGAGCCCTTGCCAGTTGCCACTGACCAGCCATTTCAGCTCCAGGGACTGTGGTACCTTCTTAAATACCAGCTACCCTGTGCCCAGAGTAGCTTCCCCCAGCCCCTGAATTTGCCAAAATGTGGGAAGGACAATAAAAAAACAAATCCCTAGGTTGCGAGGAAGCCACGTCATCTGGCTTACAGTCCAGCAGGGTCTCCAGGCATCTTAGAACTACTTGGCCCTTCTCAAAATACATATCGCCCTTATACCCAGATTCATGGCCATAGTGAGCCTCTACTAATGACAGGAGCATGTTGTTTCCTCCTATTTAAGGGGTTGAACAAATGGTAAAAAAAAAACAACAAAGAAAAACAAAACACTTTCTGGGCTGAGAGGAGCCCCCTGAGGGTAAGCTGAGCTGCCCAGCTGCAGAAAATCGCCTTTCCCTATACCTTCTGGCTTCACATTCAGGCCTATGGTAGCCTGACATTTTATTATAGGCATCTTCAAAGAGAAAAAGCGGAAAGAATTCTACAGTGAACACCCAAATAACCACTGAGACTCTACGGTAGCATTTCATTCAATTTCTGTGCCACATGTCTATCCCTCTCCCCATCCATCAACCCATCCTACATTTGAAGCATTTCAGAGAAAGTAGCAAACACTAGTCTGCCTCCATTCAGGGTGAATTGTGCAGTGCCTCTGTGGCCCTAGTGGGCTGACCACAGGGTTCCCCCACAGCAGGACACCCCCACACCAGAGCTCCCCTAGACACTTCTAACCATCTACAGAGAAAACGGCCATTGTCTTGCAGCAGGGAGCTCCCAGGATGGTGGCTGCAGACCCCAGGCAGAAGAGCAGGCCTCATGTCTGCAGAGATGATGCCTGCCAGGCAGGACTGGAACTATGTCCAGATCATGCATAAGTATGAGCAAGGACACCAGACTGACATCCAAGAAATCCTGGGGCCGGATCCGCTAGGCCAGCCAGAGGGCCGTCTGGAATGCCCTCCCTTGGGAGCTGCCTTGGGGATATCCTTCTCCCTCAGGCATGGGCTGGCTAATACCATATACCTTCCCATTGGCTTCCTGCCTTCCCTTTCCCTGGCCCTGCTTGGCTCTCCTTCATCCTCAGGTATGGGGTGGGGTGATCCTCGTCCCCAGGGAGAGCTCAGCCTCCCTGGGGCCTGGTCAAGAGCCAGACTTCCAAAGGGGAGCTGCCAAGCTGGCTCTGGCCTGCCCCTGGTGCCTCTCTCCCTGCACCTGTGTCTGCTTATCAGGGCTCAGCTGGCCTGGCCGTTGGCTGCCCCGAGCAGGGCCCAAGACCCCTCTGGCTGTTGGGTGAAGGTGCTGTAATCATCTTGTAGGAAAGTACTCTTCTAATTCTGCCCAGTCTCCTCAGAGGAGGCAGGATGGAAGCAGGGGCCCTAAGGAGGTTACCCCCAACTTCTGCCCAAAAGCCATCAGATCCCCTCCCCCTCCTCAAGAGTAGCCTGCACAGCAGAAGGATGGGTCCACCCTGGGACCCTTGCCTGAAGCCCAGGGCTCTTGTGAGGGCAGTCCTGGCATGAGGTATCTATGTATCTGCTGTCTGACTCTCTGCTTTCCTTGTCTCAGGGGGGCCATCTGGAATGCTTCCCTTGGGAGCTGCCTTGGGGACATCCTTCTCCCTCAGGCATGGGCTGGCAAGGACCCAAAGGCGCTAAATCCTTGGAGGATTTTTCTTTTTCTTTGAAGTTTTTCTATCCTGTTTTAAGCATTTGAAAAACTCTTTGTAATGACTGTTTCATTCTACCTCACTTTTCGGTCTTTTCTAGTCACCAGCCACCTTTCAACTGGGAACCCCACTGTGAGCAGAGCTCCAGGACAGAGGTCCTGTGTCAAAAGTTCCCTGGGATAGACTCTGGGTATTGGGGGCCAAGTTGTCCTTCCACCCTGCTGGGCCATGGTTTAGGGCACGCCAGAGGGAGCACAGAGATAGCTGGTGCCAGGGAGCAGCTGTGGCCCCAGTAACCTGCGGGTGCCTGGGGAGGAGGCAGCAAAGTAAACTGCATGGACTTTATAGTCTGACACAGGCCTGAGGTTACAGTGTCAGCCTTTGTGCTCTCTGTGTAAAGACAGCAACAATGCCTTTCTCCCCGGATTGTGGTGAGGATTACAGTATTTAATAGGGTATTATGTAAGGATGGTGCAGAGCTGAGAAAGTTTCAGGGAAGCTCCCAACTGAGGAGGTGCAGGTGCCATCCTGTCCCCAGTCCCTTCCTCCCTGGGATGCCAGAGGGGCCGAGGCTAGGAGGCTGCATCCCCTGGCTCCAAGGGAAACATGATCTGGAGCTGCCAGAGGGTGGGAGTGGGGGTAGGGAGCGGGGCCAGCCCTAGCCGACCAGTCCTTAGCCAGCCTGCAGTGCCAAACTGAGCCTGAGCATTGCGTGAGGGGGAGAGTCCCAGGGTCTCAGGGAAGCAAGGTGCCAGCTGGGGCTCAGGCTTACCCATGCACTGGCTCCTATTTCCCCAGCTCCCTGGCATGAAGTTCCCAGCCATCACTCCCAGTGCTCCAAACCTTTCTTCGCCTCTAGATCTGCCAGTACAGGTGTGGAAGAGGATGTGGAGCAAAGGCAGAGAGTGGATGCCATGGACTGTGCAACCTCTAACATCTCTTCCCAGTCCTCCCATGCTGACCACCCTAGGGAATTTCCCAGGGGGCCCTAAGTGCATTAAACATTGTGTGATTAAATTACCGTCACACCAAGCTCTGCTCCCTGCCCATCTGGTCTCCCCTGGGGCCTTGCTTCCTCCCTCACCCTCTCAATGGAACCTTCTGTCTCCCAAAGCCCCTACTTCCCAACCCCACCCTGGATGATATACAAGCCAGAGTCTTATCTATTCTCATAAAGCCTCTCTTTGCACAGAGAAGTCTTCAGGCAGTGAAACTATTCTGTATGATACTATAATGATGGGTCCATGTCATGTTACATTGGTCCAAACCCACAGAACATACAGCACCAAGAGTGATCCTAATGCAAACTGTGGACTTCGAGTGATAAGGATGTGCCTGCGCAGGTTCATCAGGTGCAACAAGTGCAGCCCTCTGGTGGGGGATATTGAGGATGGAGGAGGCTCTGCATGTATGGGACAGGGGCATATGGGAAATCTCTGTACCTTCCCCTCAATTTTGCTATGAACTTAAAGCTGCTCTAAAAAGTTGTCTTTAAAAAAGAAAAAGTCCATTACGATTAGCATGTATAATGTGGGAGGGAGGCAGAGGGAGGGCTGTGCAACACAGAGAAGACAAGTAGTGACTCTATAGCATCTTACTATGCTGATGGACAGTGACTGTAATGGGGTTTGTGGGGGGGACTTGGTGAAGGGGGAGCCTGGTAAACACAATATTCCTCATGTAATTGTAGATTAATGATAACAAAAGAAAAAAAAAGAAAAAGTCTCTCTCCCTGCCTTAGTTGTTCCAACAACTCTTGTCCTGGTTTCCTTTCTTCACCTCTGGGCTTCTCTAAGGCGTGACCAGTGGGTCGGCCTCTACCATCTTGCATCACTGTCCCACCCAGCCATCTGGCTTTGGCCCCCACCACTCCACATACACAATGACCTCCCTATACCCAAAGCCAGGAGTCACCTTCCCCGGCTAGTGGACCACACCCTTCCCTGGCCTTCAATGTCTCTCTCTCTTCCTCCTCTTTTCCCACCCTTCTGTGTCCCAGATGCTATCAGTAGAATGCTCTCACGGGCTCATCACTCTCGGTGGGTCCCAGAGAGCACTGGGCCATGGCCTAATCTGCTTCCTGTCTCTTAGGATGGATCCTGGGTAGAGGGGGATCCTGGCTCCAAAGAGCAGAGAAGCTGTGTTGGGAATGGAAGGGCCCTAGGTTGGGGGGCCCCTGCAATCATGGACAGCCCCTGGATGAGAGAGGACTGTGTAGAGAGGGACGGAGACTCAGGGAACTGGGGAGACATCTCCCAGATGGGAGGGCTGCCTAGCAGGGCCTAGTGATGTTACTCAGGAAGCCCAGCCTCCTCACACTGCTGCCCCACAAGGCCTTTCACCTGAGGAGCCTGGGGGCTGCCCATGAAGTTGCCTTTGTCCTGCATCCCTGGCCCAATGCCTGGGAGGGTCTGCTCCCCAGGAGCCAGACAGCCTCATGCCCACTGTCTTCCGGCCTTCATGGGGTCAGGGGCAGCTCTGCGCACCAGGGAGGGAAGTATGTAGGGGGAGGGCCTGGCCTGGGGACCTCTAAGAATGCATTCCCCATGTGTGACCCTCTATCTTATTATCTCTCCCATCCGTTCATTTGGGGAGGCCCAGGCCAGCCTCCCAGCAGCCCTCCCAAGGCTTGCCTGACCTTCAGTGGGGCTATAAACAGCACGGCCTGTCAGCACCACTAGGTGCTGCCCAAAAACAGCATGGTGGCCTCGAAATTCCAGGAATCTCTGGCACAGTTGCTCTACGATAATCTCAGCCAGTCCCCCTCCCCATCCCAGGGGACCCTCTGTTCTCTGTGTCCCCACAGTAGTTAGGAGAGTCTGACAAATACTGAAGCCAAAATCAGCAAAGGGCAGAGGCCTCTGGGCTGGTGACCTAGGCAAGCTGCTAGTCTGGTGGATGAGCCCCTGAGGAGTGGAGGCCTTGGAGCAGAGACACAGACCCCTGCACCCAGGCTCAGTCCCACCCCTGCCCCAGTGGGTATAAAGTATTCTCTCAAGTGCATGTTAGAAAGCCCTCTCACACGTGAGCTTTCAGGAAGGCACTAACCCCACTTTAACATGAAAAAACTGAGGCTGAACAGGTGAACTGAGGTTTCTAAGGTGACACAGCTGTGAGTAGCAGAGACTGAAGTCAGGCATATGCCTCAATAAAGTCAAGGGCCACGCGTGCAGCAGGGGCAAAGCCCCAGACCGTGGCAGAGTGGCTCTGATGGGGGGTGGGGGCCAGGCTCTGGGGCCATTCTCTCCCCTCCCCCACTTCCTGGAGAACTGGCTGGGGTTGGGGGAGGATAGGAGTGAAAGGGCAGCTCATGTTGCAGACCCAGCCGCACCTGTCCAGGATAAATAAAGGCATTTCCCCTCCACCCTCCCAGACTCTCGCCTGAACCCCCTTTTCTGTGGGTCCTCAGGCTGAGATCCACCGAAGGGGGGCCTGGAGGGCCTGCTACTGCTCCAAGATTGACTCTGTGGGGCCAGTGGGTAGGGTGGGTTGGGCATGGGAACCACCACCAGCATGCGGTGGCCAGACTTCTTACAGGAGGAGCCACGGCCTGGCCTGCAGCTGACAGGGCACAGACCACACTCAGTACTTTTCTACTAGTCCCTCACCAGAGGGGTGAGGGGGCAGATATGTGAGTTAGGAGTTACCAAGGACATAGGGGCTCATGAACAGATTTGAGCCTCAGCTTGCCTGGCTCTGAACTGAGACAGGAATGCCAGCTCTGCTGCCTGACCACCCACCTCAGGATTGCAGGGCACGTGCCCCTGGGTACTGGCCCCTGGCACAGAAGGAGGCCCTGCCTTTGCTAATTCCCCCACCACAATATTCCACTATGCCCTGTTGTAAAGGCTTGGGCCAGGACATGCAAATATCCATTGGCCCTCTGTGAAGGTAGGTCATGGCTGGGGTGGGAGAAGCGTCCCCTTGGAGAGCTCTGGCCCTGCACCCCTTTGAGGGAGAAGTTCCTGGTGCAGAATGGCCTTGAGAGCCTCAGCGGGAAATAACCACAGCCCTAGCGGGATGGCAGGGCCCCATGTCCTGGTCTGCCCGGCCAGTAGCACTGGGTGGGAGACATTGGAGCCCAGGGTATCAGTGACCCACGAGGGAAATTTAACAAGAGGTTCTAAGCCCTGGGAAGGCCCCAGCAGTGCCCAGTCCAGCTTGCTCCATGTCCTTGCTGATTTGGGACATGCCCCTATGGGAAGCTGAAAGGCCATTATGGCTATCCCCTAATACCCTGCCTGAGCTGCAGGGTCTATTTTTAAAGGTCCCCCCAGTCATTGGCTCCAATACATGGTAAAATACCCACTCCCTGCAGGGAGGACATTCTTCCTGCTGTCTAGCTTAAGGCCTCTGTGCTGCAATTTAAGCCCTGGGCCAACCAGGGCCAGGTGGTGCATAGACCCTGGGTGAGGTAATTGGCTATCCTGGGTGCCACTGAGCCAGGAGGCAAATTCCCACGCTCAGGGATGGAGCAGGGAGCACCAGGAGGATAGGTCTGACAGGGGGTCTGTGAGTGGCCAGTGGACCCACGAGAGTGAGGGCGGACAGCCCTGCTGCCCCTGGACAGGAGGAGACCTGCACCCATGGGGGTGGGGAGCTGTGCAGGGTCCTGGGGAGACTGTGTCCACTGGGGCTCAAATGCCCTTGTGTTATCATATCACCAGGCAGGGTCTGCAAAGCTCTAGGTGTTTTTTTAGTACTGGACCCTGAGGTCTCCAGGGCAGTGGATTGGAAGGGTGGAGATGCAGGTTAGAATGAGCCAGATTTCCAGCAGAAAGATGGAGGGCAAGGCCTTTCCCTGCAGTGGAGCTGGCTAGTGCCCCACTCTGGAGGAGTGTGGCCTCTATAGGTATTTTGAGACTCCCAAAGCACCCCTGAGTATGGCTTCTGTTTCTTGGGGTATCCCCAAGTGCTCATTCAGGTTCCACATCCAGGACTGCTCCTCCAGTGGGGGCACTTGCTCCCTGCTGCCCTCTGCCAAAGTCCAAGGCAGATCTCTGCTGCCCTGGAAAGAAATCATTTTCCTGTTCCCAGGTGGGCAGTAACCCACGTACCTCTGCCCATCAATCACCTTCCAGGGACAGCCTGGGGCCCCAGCCTGCCCCCTTGTGTCCACAGCAGCAGGGCAGGGGCTGTGCCTCAGCGTCCCCACCAGGCAGGGCTTTTCTCTGCCCTCACATACCTCACTCCACCCTGAGCCTTGGGACCTTTCAGTACCAGCTCTGCCAGACTCCCTGGGATGTCCTTACTTGACAAATGTTGCCTGAGCACTACCATGTCCCAGGCTCTGGTGTAGATGCTGGGAACACAGCAGTGGTTAAAGCAGTTCCTCCTCATAGACAGCTTCCTCTGAAGCATATCTAGCTTCTTGCCTCTCTGGACTTCAGTGTCTCCAGCTGGGCAATAGAGTTACTCCGACAATCTCCAGTGATCTGTGACATCCCCATCAGGCAGGGCTGCTCCCGGATCACAGACATTGCAGAACACACAGGCCATTTCCCCAGGTGAGAATGGGGAACAAGACGTGTGACAGACAGAACCGCAGCTCTGGGCAGGTGAGGAAGGCCCAGTTCCATGAAGCCAGCTAGTGCAAGGTCCCAAGCAGGCCCAAGACACCGGGGGGAAGAGGGCTGCTATCTCAGGTCTGGTATAGAGTGGGTGCTGGAGCCCAGTTACCAGCCCAGCCCTGCCCCAAGCCCCAACAGCATAGCAGCCAAGGTCAGCAGTCTGTCCATCATCTGTCTATCTGCCTACCTGTCATCTGCTCTCTCCATGCTAGGAGTGCTCTCTCCCCATAGCAGCTGCCCACTTCTAGGGAGATGCTCCAGGCTTAGGGGAAGGACTTAGGACAGAGCTGTTCTCTTCGTCTACCTGCCTGACCACCCTCCACATTTGGCATTTCCTTCTCTGGTCTAAACACCCACCCCTTGCCCATGTTTCACACTCATATCAGGCAGGCCAGTTCAGGTGGACAGCAGCTGTAGCTGAGACCAGGGCTATGGCCAGCAGCATCTAGCTGGGGCCAGTCCCAGCCCCCACACCAGCGATGGGACGTGCTTTGCTTTCTAAGAGCCTTGAGGAGGACAGACCCAACAGATGCACACACCCTTCTCTGCACATGTCCCACCCCTGAGGGTGCCAGGCTGTGGGCAGTGCACACTCACCCGGGAGATAGTGAGCGGCATGTTGAAGTCCTTGCCACCCTGCAGACGGAAGCCCCAGGGCCCAGGCCCGGTCAGGGTCACACTGTAGGACATGCTGGTGCTGACAGCGGCAGCCTCTGTGGACAAGGGGAGAAGAGTGGAGTGAGAAGGCCCTCACACATCCATCCGGAACCTCGGCCCCTGCCCCTGGACCCTCCAGTCTTGCCTGCTCTGTCCCTTACTGCACAGCCAGGCTGTGTGGAGCTCCTGAGAGACTCCTAAGAATAGCTGGGGATGAATGCCATCCACTCTGATATCTGCCCTCTGCTGCGCCCATAAATGGACTGTAACCCTACACTGTGCCCGCCCGCCCGTGGCCTCCCAGCCGGTCCACTGTGACTCACCAGGCTAATATAGCCCCTGGGGAGGGGTGTCCAGCACCCAGTGCCACCCCCACCCCAGGGGGCAGGATGGACGTTGGCCAGGTTAGTGATAATGCTCTCAACTCCTTGCTCTCCTCTTCCTGCTCCCTCTGCCCTCTGGACAGCCCAGATGTGCACTCTCTGGCCAGCCGAACCCACCCCTTGGCCCCGGAGACTGTAGCTGAGCTCAAGGCCTTAGGCAGGGGTGCTGCAGTTTGCATCTTTGCTGTCCTTTCTCCCTGGTGAGGACCCTGAGGTGCCTTATCTAGCATGGAGCCACAGTGGTACCTAGGAACAAGCTGAGCCTCCATCTGGCCTGGACAGCTTCAGCACAGGAGACCAGCAATTAGCCTGGTGTTGTCCAGCCATAAAAATGATCCTAATAGCAGCAGCTCTGGGCATGGCTAAACACAGCTCTGGTCCCCTCACTCCATTATCCCCTGAGAGGCTGCCACCTTAGCCCACAAGAACCAAGGCTCAGAGAGGTTAAGTGATTTCTCCAAGGTCACACAGGGCATGGCCCCAGGCTGTGCTGGAGCCTGGATTCATTCCTATAGGAGTAATTCCAAATAATGGGCCCCCAGTGGCCACAGGCACCTCCCACTGTCCAGACTTAGTTGGAAGAGGTGGGGGGCTCTACCCGTACCCTCTGCCCAGAGTCTGAAAGCAGTCTGGAGCAGGCCCACACCCTCCAGACCCTCTGGGGGCTGAGCAGTTATTCCTGGCTCTCCCGTTCTCATTTGTACTTTGGAAAACTTGACAGCAGCATGGAAAGCTCCAGCTGCCAGCGCCGCCCGCCAGGCCCCCATGCCCTTTGTGGCAGAATGGCAGAGGGCAGGGAGGAGGGGAGGAGATGCCATTTGCTCAGCTGCTGGGGCATGGGGCCAGAGGGGCAGGGAGGGGAAAGTGTATGCCGTGTGTTCAGCCTGTAACCCAGAAACAGTGTGTCCTGGGTTGGGGCCTAGGCACCTCAGGACTTCTGCCAATGTGCTCTTTGGACCAAGATACCTTCAGAAGCCCTTTCCCAAGAGACCTGAGGCCCCAGAAGAGATGGATCAGGGCCTACCCTGGCTCCCAGCTAAGAAAACTGAGGCTTGGGGAAAGCCACTGGGCTGGCTGCTCTTTTGTCCTCATGGAGGGCTCTGGTCTGAGCTGGACCCTGGCATGTGAGCAATTTCCCAGCTGCCAGCACCCCAGCTCATATCCTGGGCCTGGCACATCCAACATGCATGGTAGGAGGCCCCACACATCATAGTGGCATTTGGTAACTTGCCCAAGGTCACAAAAATATCAAGTAGGAGAAGCTGTGGAGGGACCTGTGTTCTTCCCCCCACTTTAACACCTCCTCTGCCCTGTATCATGCAGCCCATCCTGTCCTCCCTGCTCCAGCCTGGCCCAGGAGGTGGCCAGCACCCTGGCCCTCATCCACACCATTCCCTGCCCCTCTCCCAGGCCCCATCCCATCCATCCCTGATTCCAGCTTTATCCACTTCTTTGGGGAGGAACTGTCTTCCCAAGCTGGAGGGACCCAGCCACAGGGCATGACCAGTGTAGGGAAGGGAGGGCATTAACCCTGCACAGGGAAGAAGAGCCCAGATCTAGGCTGTACCTAGAGCTAGAGGCTCTTTCTCTGGACTCAGCGCTGCCTGATGCTGCCTCTGGGGAAAGGGAGGGTAGAGGGAAGGATGCTCTTGAAGGGGAAGGCCAGCCTCCCTCCATTTGCCTCCCCTGGGAGTCAGAAACAGCCAGAGAACAGGTGGTACCCATGGGCTGTGTACAAGCTGCTTTCTGATAATAGCATCTCACTTGGGAGTGGGGATGGGGGCAAGCCTGGTCCTTCTCCTTCCTCTTCTCTACCTCCACAGTGTGAAATACGGCTTTAGGACTGAGAGTAACAAGGTGGGGAATAGTGGAAGGGGAGGAAAAGAGGTTGCTGTGGGCATAAGAGGCCAGACCCTAGTTCTCCCTCCCTTGGCAGGTCCAATAGGTAGAAAATATGCTTATCCAAGAACTTCTCTGCTTTTTATTATCCTATACCCTGTCAGATTCACATAGCCCTGGGGTGAACTTAGAACACTGAATTGAAATAAATCACAGGTACATTACATGCGCACATATGTTTGATGCGCATGCAGATATGTACATGCAGGAAAGTGTGCCCCAAAATGGATGTGTGCATGAGAGTGTGAGCCATGGTAGAAACAGTACGCTGGGGGAAGAAGGCAGAGGCGAAAAAGTTTCCAGTGCATGAAGGTCTGTGCTTGGCTTCAGCTGCAGGCTGCAGGAGACATAGCGCTGTCCCTCCCGTGGTGGTGAAAGGCCCAGCCCGGGTGCAGAGGCAGCTCATAATTAGCTGGTGTGCCGTGTGGAGCCATCGCCATTGTCATCACATGGACAAGTACAGCACTCAGCATTTGAGGAGAGGCAGATGACTCCAGCAAGCCAGCAGGCTTGGGCTCCCACTCTTCAGGCTGAACCTGAGTTGCAGGCTGTTGGGATAAATGGGTGAAGACCACTTCACAGGGCAGGACTTTTGCAGTATGGGGCCGTGCACCCAGCACAGCATGGGTGACAAGACCACTTCCAAAGCCACAGGCTCAGGGGCCGATCCTGGGTCTGTGTGTGTGAGGGGGACATGAAGGGGCTGCATGTGTTCCTGGAAGAAAGCGAGAGCCAATGGGCACCCTACGTCCTGGGGTCCAGGCTGGGGAGCAGTCCCTTGGTCTGAAAGCAAACAGCACACATCTGTTAGCCCATGGGGTGTCCCCTGGGAGCTGTCTCCCAATGACTCCCTGTGTTCCAGGTTACCATGTGGTGAGAGAGGTTGCAGAGTGGGGTCAGCCTGTCTCCTGGCTGGGGACGGGCCTTCTCCAAGACTGTGGGCAGTGGTCTGGAGGATGGAGCCAGCAATGTCTAAGGTTGCTTGCAGGATGTCTCTCTCCCTGGGATGTTCCCCAGGCTCTTGGACTCCTGGGGTCCCAACTGAGCTCTCCACACCTCCACCATCCAGTTCCCCACTTCCCTCCACTCCCGTGCAGCAGCCCCAGCATCTGCTCTCTCCCTGCTCCCTTAGAGCCCCCACCCCCTTCCCTCCTACAGCATAAGCTCCCTCTGCTCTTCCCCCTGCAGGGGCATTTCGTTCAGCCTGTCCTTCCCTAGGTGTTGCAGAGGGGCCTGGGCACCCTGTAAAGCTGCCCCCCAAGCTGACTGTGTTCTCCAAGGGCTCCCTGTCCACCAGGGGCATGATGCAGACCCTCAGGCTAGCACCTGGCCGGGCCTCCTACCGCCTCCTGCCCCTCTCTTCCCTTCTCCTGCATGCCCACCGCCTGCTCCCAGGGTCCCTTTGGTTGCTCCCAGGTTCATAAGAGTGACTTTCTGTTCCAGGCCACGCCAAGATCCTCTGTGCCCCACTGCTTCCACCCAAGCTGTTTTCTCAGCCTGGATTTCTTAACCCCCAGCCCCACCTCTGCCTGGTAATCTCTGCTTCACCTCCACCTTCCCTGGGGAGCTCTTGGGGACTTGCCTCAGCTCTCAGCACCCTGTGTACTGATACCTCGACATCAGTGCTTTATCACACTTGTTGGCTGATTGCTGATGTGCTGTCCCCCTTTGCCCAGCGCCCCACCCCAGGCCAGTATTCCCTTTAGGACAGGCATGGTGCCTTTCATCATTGCCTGGAATTCACCAGGTGTGGGGGTGCTGCAGGTCTCTGTTCTGTCTCTGTGGCCATGCACAGTGCCCAGGCTCAGACATGGGGAGGGAGTCCTCTCTGGAGCTGGAGCCTCAGGGGAGCAGTGCTCCCTGGGATGGGAATGCTGGTGGGGCAGATCCTCCACAACTGTGGGGAGCAGCCCAGAGTTCCCTGTCTGGGACACTCAGGGGAACAGTTTTGGGGAGGGAAGACAGAAAAGTGCCTCTTGTCTTGGGCTTGCTGAGGCAACTGAGAAAGCCCAGGAACTGGAGGTGTGTGGGTGTGAGCAGAGGGGCAGAGTGGGGAGCTGTCAGCTGAGAGGGAAGGGCAGCCTCAGGGCCTGTGCACAGCATTTCCAGCGTTCCAGAATATGGCCTTCTCTAATCGCCATCGACATTCCGTTCCATAGGCACTTGGGCTGACAGCTGGCCTTCTTTTAATAGCCACAAGTATTCTGGGTGACATCCTAATCTCAGGGCATTCATAGCGAGCACATACACAGCTTGCAGCTCCCTGCCCCCTAAGTATGTCCAGCCTCCAATCACACAGAAAGGTACACACCACCCACACATGGTTACAAGCATGGCTTAGAGCAGACATCTTGGGGCACACTCAATCCCATGCCCTGTCTTGTCACAGGGACAGAGAACATGTGCTAGGCACATGATCACACCCATGCACCAGTTACACCCCCCTGGCTGCATGTCATATACCCTCATGGTCACACACACTCACACACATGCTGTGCATCCATCAGAGCACAGCAAGGCCACCACTGCCTGCTATGTACATGCATGGTCAGGGTCATACACTCACATACAGACACTCAGTGGCAACCCACCACACTCATTCCTGCTCAGAGCACCTTGGAGTCACAGAGACTCTCTAGGCCCTCTAGGCAGATAAGGAAAGCAGGGAGGTGGGGGAAAGGGATGATTCCCAGAGAGCATTGAGCCTGCCTATCAGAATAAGCCCCTTTCCTGCCCACTCCTTGGGCTACTTGTCCCTTGTCCCTACCCCTTTATAGATTGGCAGGAGCTAGGGCCAGTCACCTTCCCAGGAGCTTCGGCTTCCTCTCCCTGGGGTCTGGGAGGGGCCTCGGCTTCCACATCCTCCAGGTCCTGACTGCAGGGTGCCCGTCTGCTCTCTAGCTGGGCACCTCCCCATGCAGCTGTGTCCTCTGTGTCGGTCCAACCCTGGAGGAGGTAGGAAAGCCACTGTGAGATGAGAGGGACATTCACGGTCTTGCCCCTCCCCAACCAGGCCTTTCCCCATCCTCCCCTCAGGTATGCCCTGGAGGGGGACCCATGACTGTTTGCAGGTCTGCTGGTCACCAAATCTCTGCAAATTATAAGTGTCTGTACATGTGTGTGTGCAAGCTTGTGGGGTGAGTGTGCTACATGAGGGGCTAGGCCTCTGTTAACAGATGAGATTCACTCCTTGATGTTTCTAAAGTGGTCTGAGGAAGGGACTGCTGACAGCTCTCCTGTGACCCCTCAGCCAAGACCCCCAGGGATGGGGGCAGTGGAAAGAGGTCAGTGGAGGCTCTTGGTGAGGCCCACAGTGGGCATTAGGGGGCACTACAGCTCCAGGCCCCAAAGAGGTCTGACAACAACTGTGGGGTCAGCATCCACCCATGGGCACCTTAGCCAGTCTTGATGAAAGACCACTGTTTTCCCTTTCAGAGGAGGACACAGTCTCAGAGAGGGTGAGTGACTTGCCCAAGCTTAAACAGTGAGGACATAGTAGAGCTGAAGCCTGAACCCACATCCCCAAACTCCAGGCCACTATTCTTCCCACTGTATACTGTGGGCTCTTCAAGACTCCCAGGAGACAGGGGCTTAATGCTGAGAACAATGGACCCTGAGCTAGCTGCTGTCTGCCTCTCTGGAGCTCCACCTAGGGCCAGAAATGCTAGTCTTTTTGATCTATGACTCTAAGCCCCTGGGATGGTGCCAGCACGGAAAAGAGATGGCCTGGAGTTAGAAGACCCATGGTCAGTGCTGGCCCTGCTGCTAGGCGACCTTGAGCAAGCCCATCACCTCTCTGGGCCCAGTACATCAGGAGGAGGATGGAGTGGAAAGCCACAGGAAGGTTATGAGGGGCAGTCCTGCCAGCGTCTCAGGTTCTCAGGGGTCCCTGAGTCTCAGAAGCAGCCTCATCAAGACGCCTGAGGCTGGCCTGGCAGAGGAAAGAGTGGCTAGGTGCCAGCCAGTGAGGGCCCAGCATCCTTACCACCTTGTTCTCAGAGCCCAGGGATGGCTGGTGCCTTCGTCTGGAGATCCAGCTTAGGTTCGAGGCCTGACTGCTCAGCGTAGAGTGGTGGGTAGAGCAGTAGCTGGCGTACTGGCCAGTGCGCTGGCCCGACATGCCCAGAAGCACCCCCAGGCAGTGCAAGTGCTGGGTGATGGCCTTTCTGCAGGCACAACACATCTGGTTAGGCTGCAACAGGCACAAGAGGCTGGAGGTGGATGGACAGACTGATACAGGGCCAATGGGACTGGACAGAGGGCCACTGGGGAAACGGGGATGTCCAGACACTGGGGGTATGAGGATAGACAAACCTTTGATGGGATGATAGTAGTGGACAGAAAGACTCTGGGAGTCATAGGAGGTGATGAGGAAGGACAGACAGATGCTGGGGTGAAGGACACTGATAGGGTTTGGGATGGACAGTTAGACTCTGGGGCTGTGGGCACAGAGGGAGAGCCTCAGGGTAGCAGGTTCAGCCAGGTGCTGTGTTCCAGCCCTCAAGTGGCTGGCCCAAGCCACATCTCTGCAAATGGGCATAAGGGATGCTTCTGAGTAGCTGCTGAGCTGGATGGGCTAAAGGCTGCAGCTGGCCTCAGCAGGACAGTGAGTTACTGACACCACCAGGCAAAAGGAAGCACTGAAGGCCCCCTCGTGAGAGAGGTCAGTGGTGGCCTGGATTCTGTCAGCAGAGGGCGTGCTGAGCAGAACCACGCCCAGCCCTGCTACAGTCCCTTCAGGATGTCACTGTCTGGGGCTCCTCCTTGTAGAGGGCAGCACTGCTGATCGTCTGTCCTGACTGCCTTTTGGCCTCAGCTCCAAAAACCCCATAGTTAGAATTGTACGCTTCCCAGGGAACTCTGATGTCCCTCCAAGCTGAGCCCCCTGGGAAGCTGGGGCAGCAGAGGGGGTCACACCAGCTCCAGACCTTACCCAGTGTCTGGCTGCTCCCAGATACTAGGGGCTCCTGCTTAATAGATATACAACACAATACATATACAGTTTGCCGGCCCAGGCCTTCCATACCCATCAGGGTGGGCCTGGGGACCTGGGGCTGGGTCCTGCAAGAGGGTCACACCTGTACTTGGGGTGGGTGATGGCGTAAATGATGGGGTTGTGGATTGCTGAGGCCTTGGCAATGACGGCCGGCACCGAATTCACGTACGGCGTCAGGACATGCGCGTACCTAGGACAGAGAAGCTGTGGTGTGCTGCCAGCTGGCCCTCCCTGGAGACTCCACAGCCCACCCACCCCCTCAGGAACCTTCTTTCCCTAGGTCAGACCCTGCCAGGGGGCACAGCCCAACCTGAGTCAAACCAGCACAGCCAAGTCAGCCCTGTGGGAGGGACCACATTGCCAAGGAGAATTCTGATCCTAGGTGAGTGGTACCCTGGGGTGCAGTTGTGGAAGGGGTGCTGAGAGGAAGCTGGGCCAGTTTGGGGGTTTTGCCAGGTCTCACTGTCCCTTCGAGACTGTGCTGCTGGCAATAAACCGTCCCCACCCCCAATGACTCTGGCCCTCTGCCCAGCTCTTCCCACATCCCATCCCACACCTGATGCCCGCTGCTCCTCTGGCTCTCTTAATGACTTCACAGGCTAGTCCAAAAGGACACCAGGCCACTCCTGCACAAGGGCAAGTTCTCCTACCCAAACACATCAAAGGATTAACAGTTCTGTCTCAAAAGTGCTTCTGAAGTCTGGCCTATGTCCAAGCTGCTGCAGATGTCAAAGACCCCAAACTCTAGCCACAATGGACTAGAGGGCAGGAGGTGAGCAGCACCTCACAGTCTGGGGGGAAATAAGGCTGGGAGGCTGGACTCAGGGTGTGAGGATGGCTGGCTTGGGCTGGGGAGGGAGAGGCTGCCCCCAGGGCCCCTTGCCCCTCCCCCATGCCTTGAGCCACTGCTCACCCAGCAAAGGCCATCAGGGCCACACAGGAGTAAGGGGCCCAGGAGAGCACAAAGAGAAAAATGACCAGCAGCTCCATCTTGGCCATCTTCCACTCTCTCTGCAGCCGCTGTCGTTGCCGGGAGGACTCACCCCCGCCCTCAAAGGCCCCGAAAGCCTGCAGAGTCCTAGGAAGAGTGGGTAGTCTGATCCAATCCCACTTGGGTTGCAGGGACCAGGGTCATGGCCAAGTTGGGGAGCCTCCCTAGACCTGGCCATCCCCTCCAGTGCAGGCAGCCCTCACTTCCAGAAAGATCTCCGTTACATCCAGCCTAAGCTGCCTCCCTGTGGTTCCGCCTATGGTGTCTTCTCTGCACCCCTCAGACTTCCTTACCGAGTCTAAAGACCCCCTTTTCAGAAGACCTTGTCTCCTGAGACTCCTCTAGGCACCCAGGTTGTGCTGATCTCTAGGCAGCCCGCCTCGTCCTGTGGTCCCCTGCCAGCTGGCCCTCCCACATGTGTTCAGCTTGTCTTTGCCTACCTGGAGCTGGGAACAGGGGCAGATATGAGCCTCGGGGCGGGGTGGGGGCAACCCTGGCAAATGGGTGTGGAGCCCCTCCCATCCAGCCCCTCCTCTGTGCCCAGCTCTTACTGGCCTGTCTCCCGGATGGCCCTGAAGATGAAGAAGTAGGAGTAGATGATGACAAGCAGGGGGAGGAAGAACACAAAGCAGAAGAGCAGCATGGTGTAAGCACGGACTGATGGCGTGAAGCTCATGTAGTCCCAAGAGCAGGAGGTCAGCAGCCCCTCGGGCACATAGGCACCTGGGAGCCAGGAGCAAGTGCTCAGCCTTCAGGACAGCACCAACTCTGGCTCCTCACTCATCAGGGGCTTTGGATGTGGGGCCTGAGATCCCCAAACACTAGCCCCAGCCCAGCCCTGCCCAGTGCAGAAAGGAATCCGGGGTGCATGGGAGGGAGCTCTCCAAGCTGGTTCAAACAGGAGATAGCTGGCAAAGCCCACTGCTGCCATTCTTGCCAGTTTGGAACAGAGAGCTTGCCGTTGCCCCAGGTCTTACTCCCCTTGGCTCCAGCCAGCTTCCTGGTCCTGTCCCAGAAGGACAGGTGCCTTCTGCTAACCCTCCTACCTGCTGAGAGGCCTCATACCCCAACCACTGCCTGTCAGACTCCCTGAAAACTCAGCATCAAATGCATCTGTCACTTCCCACCACCCAGGAACTACATGATCTTACCCTCTGTGTTTGGGGATGGGAGCCAAAGTCATCCTCTGATCAGGATGGTGCAGCCTCAGTTTCCCCTGCTGCTTGCCATGCCCTCTAAATGTTCATCAGCCTTGAGGCTCAGGCAGTTCCTTGGCCCCTTCTGCCAGCTGGTGGACCCAAGTCCACCTACCTGCCCCTGGCACATGCCCCTCCCAGCCTATCTCCCTCACCCTGGTTTTCCCAGTCCACTTACTCCAGCCAAAGAAGGGTGGCAGACTCCAAGCCAGGGCATAGAGCCAGATGCCCAGCAGGACAAGCCCAGCCCGCCTCTTGGTTACCACCCCGACAGCAGCCAGTGGATGCGTGATCACCAGGTAGCGGTCCAGGGCGATGGCCATCAGAGTAATCATGGAGGTGATGCCAGAGAGAGCCCCACAGAAGGCATAGAACTCACAGCCTGTGGGCACAGCTCCCTGTCCTCAGTCCTTGGCAGGGAGCCCAGCAGGCACCCCAAGGGAGGGAGGGTCCGGGGGTGGCAAGTGCTGGGCTCCTCAAGGAGAGCAGCCCTGAGCTCCTCTCCACCCTGCCTACTTGCCACATCTGGCAGAGGCTGGTGGAGCCCCAGGACAGGACACTGAGTCCTCCCTCTTGCTAATTCACAGGATTGAGGGCGGTCACCCACTCTCTGCCCCGGAAGGGCAAATCATCTTCTCATCTAGGCCACCCTCCAGGGTGGGCACCCCCTGCCACAGCCCTCCTCCTCCCTCCAGCAAAAGGGAACCCCAAGTGTCTACCTGCCTCCCCAAAGAGCCACCGCTTATAGAGGCTGCTGGCAAAGAAAACAGGAGCCTGGGTAAAGGACATGAGGAAGTCGCTGACTGCGAGGTTGATGATGAACATGTTGGCAGGCGTCCTGAGGCCTCTGCTCCTGTGAGGGGGTGGAAATCGTCAGAAGGTGCTTCTGCTGGGGAGCTTCCCTCACTCACACCTGTACACACACTCACACACACATACAACATGCCCACATACATGCACATGACAAATGTGCACGCACTCAGGGGCGAGCTGCTGGGCCACAGGCCTATCCCACCTGCAGTAAGTACCAGCCCAACTAACAGCTCTGTGGCATGGCTGTGCCGGCTGAGAAGCAAGACCCCTCAAGTTGGCAACTTGCCCCCTACTCCTGAGGGCAACTGCTTTAGGATGAAGTGGAGAACAATGCCTTTCCCAGAGCTGCCGTGCAGCCCAGCAGAAGCTGGGTTCTGGACATGTCTGCTTCTTCTTCTTGTGCTGTGGACTCCCCCTTTGTGACCCATGCTCTTCCGAACTTGGCCACATGCTTCATTTCTCCGAGCCCCACCAGGCCAAGGTCTCCCGAATGGCTTCTCCCCAGGCTGCTCACCCTGTGTGCCCACATGCCACGTGCCTTCCCAGGAGCTTCTCACACCTCCTCCCTCCTCAGGCACCTCTCCTTGTCCCCTGCCTGCCAGTGTCTCTGCAGTCCTCACCCTCAGGGGTGGTGAAGGGCACTTTCACAAGCCGCATCTCCTATCATCATCCATCTTTGATGTACATCCTCCCCTCCACCCCCTGCCATTTTCTAAATAAGAACATTGAGAAGTGGCTTACTCCAGATCACAAGACCCAGGACAGGGCACAGCCAGGACTCAAGCCCTCCCTTGGTGGGCACTGCACTGAACTTACACAGCATGTTGACTCCATGAAGTAAATTGCAGCTCCATTTTGCAGACAAGAAAAGTGGACTCAAAGAATATAAATGATTTGCCACAGTCATTTCAGCCAACAGGTAGTAAAGCCAGGGGTTCACTTCTCCACCTGCATGTCCCAGCCATTCAGCCTGCTGGTGGAGCAGGTGAGGAAGGAAACCACGGGTGGTTGCCAGGGGTGCATGCTGTGAGTCTTGAGGACTCAGGCTCCTGGTGCCAGGGCTGCTCTTCAAGGCAGAGGGAAGATGCCCATGGGGGCAGGTAATAGTGGAGGTGAGCTGAGAGCAGGTAAAATGGTCAGACCTATCATAGGAACACCTGTGCTACAGAGGGTGAGCCTGGGGCCCAACTGGCACGTGCCACTCAAGCTGTTCTAGGCTACTTTTTGGCCCTTTCCCTGGGCTTGAATATCAAGGCCTGGGCTTGGGACCACTCAGGACTTAGCCCTGACCTCCCTGCCTAGGATCACCAGTGCCCTGACAGAGCTGGCATCAGCATTCCCACCCTGCATCCTGTCCAGTCTCTGCACAGCTGGCTGCCCTCAGTGCCTGGTCCCCAGCCCCACCACCAGGCACCTGCAGAAGGTGTAGATGACGGTCAGGTTGCCCAGCATCCCCATGAGTCCCACCAGCAGGATCACTGAGCCCAGGGTGTAGTGGGTGTGGTCGGGAACGTCAACTGTAGGAAAGGGGACCCAGACAGCAGCCTGAGGCCTGGCTTCCTGTGGAGAGACAGAGAAATAGGGCATCACGTTGGCCTGTCACCTTGAAATAGCCTTGAGAAGGAGGGCTAGGGTTTCCAGGTGGGGTAGGTGCAGGTGGGGTAACTGAGACTCAGCCCACATGGCTAGCAAGTGACTGAGCTGGAGAAACACAGGTCTCCCTAAATTTGAGTCCAAGCTCCTATACCATGGCACAGAGGCTTCTAGGAGGGAGCTCAGATTGCCTATTGGCAGCTGTTAGGGCAGACAGACAGACAGACAGATAGCAGGCACATGGCTGGACTGACTCTAGCTCTCCTTAGGGAAAAGGCAGAGCCTTCTCCTGGGTGGACTACATGGGTCCCATCTGAGTATCCAACATAGTCAGCAATGGTGTTCCAGGCCCTGTAGACTCTGGGGCGGTGCATTCGGTTAGAGCTCCTCTCCTCAGGAGTCCTCCCATGCTCTGCCACCCAAGCCTCAAAAAAGAGGTTGTATTGCCCCATAGTATAACTGAGTAGCACTGACCTTGATGCCTGGTTGAGAGACAGGGAAAGAACTTCCCTTTGAAAAGAAAGCACAGGCTCCCAGGGTCACTGCAAGCAGGTCATGACCCCAAGAGGCCAATACAAAGGGCTTCAAGGCCCCTCCCCCACACTCCTTTCCAGAGAAGGGGGAAGTTTGGGAGTTTAGGCTCTGTCCTGCCCTGGCATCTGTAGCTACCAGAGCTTTCCCACACATCCTAGGCCAGCAACCCCCAGTACTCTGAGGGTACCCTCAGCCCTCCCCAGGTAGCAGTGCAGCTGGCGGGGTGTGGAGCCCCAGGTCAGATGATGGAGGCAGCAGAAGGCAGCCAATGCCTCACTCTGGGCTGGACTAGAGGTATGCCTAGGGTATCCTTCCTCTCTGGAAGGCTCCATGGGGCATCCAACTACCCTCAGAAAGGAATGGTTTCAGCCAAGGGCAGGTCTGGGCCATTCTAGCCCCATATCCCTCAGGGATGGCCTTCCTGTGCCTTGAATGCTCTCTACAGGAGGGACATTGCCCACACTCTTGTCTATTGGCCTCTTTGTGCAGGGCAGGCTTAGAGAGGTCCAGTAACATGCCAAGGTCCTATAGCAGAGCTCAGGCCTTTCTATCTCCCTGTCAAAGCCCCTAGTGGTCCCCAGGAGGGAGACAAGGGGACCTCTTGTCTGCCTCTGCTGCCCCCAAGAACTCTCAGGGCTGTCAGTGGACAGGTGACCCTGTGGAGACCCATGGGGAGGGAAGGCTCTATGTGCACATGCTCGCCCCAGGCTTACCGTGGGACTGATGGGTGTAGGTTGGTCCAGGCTGGAGATGCTGCTCTGGGAGCTATCCCACCTGCTGGGTGATGGTGGGGTGATCATGCAGCTGGGCTCCTGAGCCAGGCCCAGTGGGACTCTTGGCTCTGAAGAAGGGTTCATTCTGAGGTGGTGTAGTCCTCTCTCAAGCCCACAGAGAAGTCAAAGGCATGGGGGGCTCAGAATGTTAGCTGTGCCCAGGTTCCTGACTCTCCTCCATCCTCAGCAACTCTACCTGATCCACCAGCTGCCAGCGCCTGCATCCAGCGTGGACCCAGCTTGGAGCTACTCTTGAGGCTGGTGGCTGCTCTATGTCCAGTGAAGCACTAAGGAGCGAGTGTTGCAGCTGTGGTGACTCAGCCATGGGATCTGTTCCCACTGTTAAGTAGCAGACCTGGGAGTGCAAATGCCCAGTTGCTTGGTGCCCCCGGCTCCCTCAGACACAGGTCCCTGGTGTCTGTCCACAGAAGCTCTGATGATGGTGGCATGGATGTGTGAATGCGTGTGAGTGTGTGTGTGAGAGTATGAGAGTGTGTGTCAGTGTGACTGTGTGTGTATGTGCATACTTCAGGGAAGATAGCCGGGCTGGGCTCCTGGAGGTTGGCAGAAAGTTTTTGTCTTCCCCTCTCACCAGGCTCCCTTTCTTCCCTGAGCTCACCACAAAGCCTCTGCTGCCCCCAAGAACTCCCAGGGCTGTCAGTGGACAGGTGACCCTGTGGAGACCAGCCTTGCCCTTTCCACGGCTGCCCCGCCCTCAGGCCCAGCCCACGTGAGCCCATTGGCACAGAACCAGGCTGGTTGCCCATTTCACAGATGAAGAGGCTCAGAGGTTGGGCCGGGATATTGCACAGTCAGGGTGAGATCAGATCACAAGGCATTCGCTGTTTGTTATTTTCTGATAATAAACTTTTTTATTGAAGTATAAATATTTTTTTAAAACCCTCAAAGCTGGTAGAGACCTGGGAGCTCACTCAGGCCTGCTGGCCTGGCCCAAGATGAATAAAATGTTGGAGGTGGAGGGTCTCCTAGGCCCACACCTTTCCCCGTCTTGGAAGCAAGGAGCAACAAGCCCCAGAACTGGAGAGAGTGAAGCTGTGCTCACTTTCCAGGGGGTTCACTTAGCTCCAGGGACATCCTGCCCGGAACGGTGTCCTGTGGCACAGTGCTGAGACTCGTGGAGCCTGGACTGAAGAGATGTGCTCTCTCGTATTCCAGGGGTCACCCCAGTTTTTACAAACACTTTTCCTAGAGCCCCAGATTTGCACTGGTGGGTGGAAGCACCCACTCCCAAAAGAGAAGCTACACTTCCCACCAGGCGCTGACTTGCACTGCAGAAGGGCTTCCTGGAGGGGCCTTCTGTTTCAGGTCTTTGGCCTGTGAAAGCTCACCTTAGCAGGGTACAGGAGCATGAGGGACCGACTCCACCTTCTCTCCATAAAGCCCTATGTGAACTTGCCAACTGCAGGCTTTGGAACATGGGGAAGTTTGTCTAAGCCAACACTAAGTCCCACAGGACATCCTCCCTGACTCTCCCACCTGGCAGTTAGGAGAGAATGCAGGTGGAGTAGCCAGCACCAGGGTACCTGGAGATGGGTTTGTCAGCCGGACAGATGAGGACAGACCATACACCAGGGCACCATGGACCTCAAAGCAATGCTTGAAGTCCCAAGGGATTGAATCCCCCATGTCTGGGGCCTTCAGAAGCCCCTGGTCTGCTCTGCAGTGTCCTTTCTCCAGGGCTGATCTGCAGCTGCCCTCAGAGGTGATGCTGAGATCCCCTCAAGGCCCAAGTCCCACCATCTCCTCCTGCACTGTGGCCCCTCTGGAGAGGGCCCACTGTGGCCCTGATGCTCCCCACCTCCAGGCCTCTCACCTGCCAGGCACCGACTATCCAGGCTGAGCCTTAGCTCCAAGGACAGAGTGTGTGTTCTCTGTAGTCACCACTGCCCCACTGTCCTCATCATGATCCAAGGCTCTGAGGTGGGGGACGGCCCCTGGCCTTCCATTACTCTCCTCAGACTTGTCCTCCCAGGTGCCCAACTGCACCCCCACCTGAGCCCTATTTCTACCCACCTCTCTGCCCCCAACATCTCTCTCCAAGCTTGGCCCAGACTGGCCCCAACCTCTCCATGCCAATACTTGCTTCCCCATTGACCGTCCCATGGGCCCCACTCCACCCAAGAATCTCAGCCTAGGAACAGAGGGACGGGGTCCCCAAACCTCACAGTCCCCACCCTGGCTGGTGCCCACTCCCTCAGAGGCCGGGCATCTCTTCCTCTCCCAGCACCAGCCTGAGGGCAGGCTGGCCTCAGCACTCAGTGTCACTTGCCCACTCCTAGGGCTTTGATGGCCTGGGGACCCCTGGGTGAGAAAAGCTTTCCAGGCCTCTCGTGCATGGGGGAGTACCAGGGGCACAGGAAGTGGGAGGCCTGAGAGTGCCCTGGGGTGGCACAGAGGACCTAGGTGTCTGCATAGCAGGGGGCCAGGGAGGCAGAGGACGTGCTGTTTTGTTAGATCAGGCAGGGCTGAGAGCAGGGCTGCCATTCCCACACAGTTCCTCTCCAGGGTCTCCCATTTTCTCTTGCTCCTTTCCTTACAGCCCATTTTTCATGCTGCAGCCCTAAAGGTATTTGGAAAGACAAATTCAGTCAGATAACCCCATGCTTAACCCTTTGATAACTTTCATTGCTCTTAAGACACAGACAAAGCCCTAATGTGGCAATAGGGTAAAGGAAAAGGCTACAGTGTCACAACTATATGGGGATAAGAAGTCAGTTTTCTTGGGGAAACTAAATCACCATGGGTCAGCAAGAAGCCTGCTGTCCCCACTTCAGTGTCTGTGTGCCTGGGCCAGGCTGCCATCACACCAGCGGCTGTGCGCCAGGGCAAGAGCCTGTCCCCTGCTACTGCTCCTTTTTAGTGCACATTCCAGATCAGCCTGTTTTCAGGAGTGAGGAGCCAAGCTCAGGTGCCAGGAGGTCTGGGTGTGGCTGATCACCAAGCAGAGAGGTGTCTGAGAGCACGTACTGAAGGTTGGGTTCAGGCTGGGGGCCGAGGGCCTGATCACATGGGGTACAGACCCTCTTGTTGGGGAAGGAGGAGCCAGCTTGGTGCCAGGACCTGAACTTCTGAGCCCACTCACATCACGGTGCTGCAGCCAGGCTGCCTCCTCCCAGACCGCAGAATGCTCACAGTCCCTCTGCCACCCAGCCTCTCCCCATGCTCCCTCTGCTGCTGAAACTTTCCCTGTCCCTTCTCAGGCTCTGAGCTCAAAGACCACCTCGTCAAGGTTAAGGAAAGGAAGCCATCCTGAGGATCCGAACTCTCACCGCCCCGTCCATCCTTTCGGAGCACTCACTAATGGTGCCATTTATAGTGACTGTCATCCAATCAAGTCTGTCTGCCTCCCTGGATCACAAACAGATCTGTTTGTTTCACCTTTTTGACTTACTGCCCAACAGAGTGCCTGGAATATTTTTTCAGGAAAATAAAAATCTCCCTGGTCCTTGCTTCTGGTGACGCCCACATCAGTGTCACCTGGAGCTTGTTAGAAGTACTCCAGACCTACTGAACCAGGTGACCCGTCCACATATTATGTGGGAGAGGCCAATCTGAGGGGACACTGAGACAACCCTGAAATTAGTGACAGCAGGGCATGCTGTGATGCCCAAGGCTGGAAGGACAACAGGAGGAAGTGGGTGCTGGAACTCCAGGGGCTGGGGCTGCCCTGCAGGGTGCTTCAGAGAGAGGTTCCCTATGGCGCCCGGCGGTAGTGGCTGCTGGCGGAGGCGCCACAGTGAGCAAGCACCGGGTGGGTTCCCGCTGCTCTCCTCCGGGTCTCCTTGCTTCTCAGGTGCCTCCCCATGGCCAAACCTACCAGGAAGCCAGGGGTAAGGGGACTTGAGAGATGTCGTTCCCTGGGACAGAGGGCAAAGCTGGGAAGGGTGACAGGGCACACATGTGTCATTGCTCCACCCCAACCCCCGCCACTGCAGCCAGCAGACAGTGGGGGTCCCCTGGCCAGCAGGTCCTTCTGCTGTTCAGTTTTCTTAACCCTCCCCAGGGGCTGCTCATGGAGGGAGGGCCCGAGCTCTGGGTGGGGAGTGGTATCTGCTCTCTGCCTGGCCAGCCTGTATGGTTCCTTTGGACCAGCCCAAGCCACCCTTCTGCTCAGCCTGGCCTAGGAGCCCGAGGGCAATCACATCACCCCCAAGCCTCCAAGGCCACACACCCGCAGCACCAGGGAGATCTGAAGGGGTTGAGTGTGTTGTGGCTCCTGCAGCCTGGCCCACAGCCCTGCACTGACCTGCCTCCAGCTCTTCACACCTCCCTGGCATGGCTCGAGGTGAGAAAAGCTTTCCAGGCCTCTCGTGCATGGGGGAGTACCAGGGGCACAGGAAGTGGGAGGCCTGAGAGTGCCCTGGGGTGGCACAGAGGACCTAGGTGTCTGCATAGCAGGGGGCCAGGGAGGCAGAGGACGTGCTGTTTTGTTAGATCAGGCAGGAGTGAGAAACAAATTAGCAGTGAGCCCTCAGCAGACACTTAACCTGTATTTGTTCGGGCACTGGAATCAACCAGTGCCATGGACACTGTCCACAGGGCCCTGATGCCAACTTTACTTACAGGCATTCGGAGCCCCAGAATTCCTGTTCTTTGTAGAGGAGCCCTGTAAACCCTGAAAGGAAAGCCAGGAGGGCAGGAGGTCCGCAGTTCCTGAGCTTCTGTATTGCTGGTTGTCACACCCAGAGTCTGGGGAGGCAAGTCTTTGCTCCCTGGCTGGGCCTGGCAGGCAGCACTGTAAGGCTACTCCCATGCCATTCCCACCCTGACCACTGCTGGGGATCAGTTTCCACATCCAGGGATTGGCAAGGCTATCTGGTTACCCAGAGACTCCTGGGAAACTCCCAGGAACGGTTGCCAGGGGAATATGAAATGTGTCAGTGAACATATTCCTGTAGATACCTGGCCAGCAGTCCCATGGGCCCTCCCTCACCTGGAACTTGCTGTGTTCCAGGCAAACCCTGTCAGGATAGGGCCCTCCTTCCTGTGGCCTGAGGGCCTTGCTCCTCTGCTATGCTACAGAGCAGCAGGCACAGCCCTGGTCTTTTGCCTGCCCTGGGCCAAGAGGGGCAATCCATGCTCCGCAACCCCTCCAGTGCTGCCTGCCCATCAGGGGCCATCCAAGTGGCCCAGTGGTCCTGCTAATGTCCCTGGAGGCACCCAAGGGTCCTTTGGGTCCCTATGGCCCACCTGTCTCTCTGTAGCTCCTCTCGCCCTTACTCCCATCTGGAGTGCTCCCACTGAGCTTCCTCCTGTACAGCTTATGACAGCCAAAGTGGGGCAGGCAGGGAGACAGCCAGAGGGCAGAGTGTATACAGCACTGTAGGACCCTT